GCCTGGTGGGGAGCGTTGGAGGGGCCGGTTCGTGAACACTATCCGGGCTCCCAGGCGGGCTATTAAAGGGAGACGTCTCTTCCCTGAGCTTGCCCCTGATATCAACAGCCCCGATTTGATGGTCTGCGTAGTAGGGGGCTTTTGGCTGGTCTCGCATCGACGGCTTTTCGGCACGGTTGATTGGCGGGGGCACGGCGGGCTTGTTGTCCCTTCGTATCTCGCCAGATCGTCTCGGGGGCGGTGGTGAAGGCGGCTGTGAAGCAGATAGTCTCGGCGAACGTCGCGGATCGAGCGAAGGGGTGTGCGGCCGACTTGGGATCTTGAAGGCTCGCGAAGTGGTTGGCGTGGTGGGGGTGGAAGAGCCGGAGTCGGCAGCGTTTAGAAAGGCTGGCGCCTCGGCGATGGAGAACCTCGAGATGGAGTTCTTGGGCGGTGACTGAGGCGGTTCTACCAGGACCGAAGGAGCTTTCACCGGCTCGGGTTTCAAAGTAGGAGGAACACCCAGGGAGCGGCCGGGGGAGCGAGGGACGGGCTCGTGCAGAGGAGGCGGGAGTGACGGTGACGAGATGCTCGCGCGCTCACGGGGTCTCGGGGGGATCGGGAGGCTTTCGGAGGAGGCTTTCGCATCTCGAAGGAATTCTGGCTTCGGGGCCGGAGAGATTGTTCGGGGTGGGGAGGGACCAGGCGCAGCGGCAGATTCGCCATTCTTGTTCATGTTCTCGAACTTGGCCCTCAGCGACGAGACGGGTTTCTGGGGGTCTGGTCAGCATGGCAGCATGGCGGGGGGTCACGGGCAGCGTACAAGTGATGAGCCATCAGGCCCATTCTGAGCGGGAGGAGCCATGGTTGTAGCAGAAACGACAGCGGGAGCCCAGGGTGCCGATACCCATTACACCCACGCCTGCAAGTGTATCCTCATGAGCCCTTCAGCGGCGTGTGGTCTGTCGGCGGCTTAGCCAAGCAGAATGTGTTGGTGGTTATGGATTGACGAGGTCGTCGAGTGTCGCAAGGATGCGTAAGCGGGCGTGAGAGCGAGAGTTTGTTGCGCGCGTGTGGTCGGAGAGATTCTGACAAGTGGGATGGACGGCCGTGCAAGAGGGCTGAGGAGCATAATGATGCTGGGCGGATGTTTCGAAGCTAGTGAGATGCGAATGGGAGCATGGCCAGGTTGAGGCAGCGGTCGTCACGATGGGCGCGTTGGAGGTGAGAGGGAAAGTTGAGATTCGGGTGTTTTTCTGGAGCGGTGGTGGCAGTAAGGAACGGGAGGTTGTGATTGACGACGAAGTGGCATTGCAATGGCCCCTTGGAGCAATAAGATTCCCAGCCGTAGCCCGTACGGAGTAAGGTACTGCGTCGCCGTTTTGCTGGGACGGCAGTGTGTGGATGGTGTACCTGATTCGCCGGTACCTGGGTTGGCTGCCAGTCTGGGGGATGAAGGGAAGTACCCTTCTCCGAGATGAGGCAGGGCAGGTGGGCAGGCACGGCAGGGAAGGGGAGGGGAGGGAAAAGGGAAACGTATGCTAGGCACGTAGGCCGCAGTAGTGCTTTGCGGCGCCGTGCACACCTCAGGACCTGATGCCACTGGATGGAGTGTGAGATGAAGTGGTGGGTGGTAACCGACACTGACAGACTCCAAGTCACTTCACCCAAGAGTGCCAAAGTACTCCATAGACAGAGGGGGAGGGGGGGGGGTAGCGGTACGTGGTGGGATGTACGTAAGGATTGAGGGGACTCGCCATCCAAACACTGCCGTCAATTACGACTTGCGCTGCGACGTGCCGTCGTGCCTGTCCCGCCGCAGCATTATGGCCCGTCTGGGCTTAGCAGTCCCCGTAATGACATATGACCCTGCCAAGGCCCAGGTAAGTGTCTCCATCTCTGCCAGCCTCACCAGTTGTGCCCAGGGTTGAGAGCCCAAGAGGAGACTCAAGAGAAGTCGAGGTACGGATTACGGAGGCCCTCAGCCACAAGTGGAGGAGAGGCACTTTGTCGCATGTACCTTGCTTGCGGCTCGGGATACAAGGGCCGCCGCCGTTGGCCTTGGTTCCTGAGGAACTTCAAGGTTGGACACTAGTCGTTCCGTAATTAGGCGAATCCACAGCCTGATCTGCCGCTGGACACCCCCTGTGAAATACGTCCCTCGCAGGCGTGGCAGGCAGGCACAGCACAGCACCTGTCCCGTGCCTGGGGTCTGGGACTACGTACCTGCTTACCTCAGCTTGAAGCCGTGAGCCGACGAAGCTGGTACCTTGGGTTGAAGGATCTCTGTTGTCCCTCCACCCTGGATTACAGAATCTGGATGGGAATTGTTTCAACCGCCATAACGGGGTACACGGCACGGCTTGGGTCTCTCTGATGTCTCCTTTCGAGTTTTAAGCATTGCCATATCATTAATTCGGTCCAAGATATTCTGTCGAGTGTCTCTGTCTGGTCAGTGTCAGCGACCGTCGCTAACCTCTTTCATCTTTCGGGGTCCACAGCTCGTGTGCACGGTGCAGAAGGCCAAGCAAATCGGGGATTCTCAAGCTCTATCATCAGACCATCCCACTTTCTACAGTGCGTCCTCATTGCTCAGTGGCAGCTTGCGCTCCGATCGACCGGGTTCACAACGTCCTTGAGCCAGCTCAGCTACCTTACCCGACAGGGCTACTTTTTTTTTCTTTCTTTCCTTTGCAGTCTTGTTCAGACCAAACAACACAACTCTCGACTGCTACAAACCCGTCTGTCCAAATCCTCAAATCCTCACATCCCACCGCAAACATGAACACCGTAAGTTCCTCCTCGGCCGTCGCACATGGTTTCAAGTTCTTGGCTGACATCAAGCCTAATCCTAGGTCAAATCATTCTGGTAGGCTTGACTCGTCGTCTCTCGTCGCAAACCGCTCTCCTCGTCGATCAACACCACTGACTGACACCCTCTCGTCTCGCAGGCTTGGATGGGGCTCCCTCTGCGCAGGTACGTCGTCACCTGAGCTTTTTGACTCTTGTTCCAGAACCGCAGCTAACGTGTCGCACTTACAGCCGGCGGAGCTGCCTACTACTTTGCCAAGCAGAGCATCAACGCCGATCGTGCAGCCCGCTTCGAGGAGCAGCGCCAGAAGAAGATGATGGTCCAGTCTCTTGAGTACGGCGACAACGGTCCCTCCCAGCCCGGCTCCGCGTCCGCCATGGCCGGAGCTGCGCGCACCGATACCGCCGGCTCCCCTAGCCAGGAGTCCAGCTCCGATCCCGCCCCGACCCGCCACGCCCCGGCGACCGAAGCGCAGCGAGTGACGGAGAAGAGCAAATACGAAAGTAGTACGCCGTTTAGGAGTACAAAGGGAGATCGATTCTCATAGTTACGGGACCAAGACGGTGGATGGACCTCGACCAGCCCCCGAGCTCGTGTAGTATAATTGTTTGCTCGGCTGGTTTTTGGCTGTACATTGTATCATTGAGGACGACACGAAGAGACGATGTCCTATTTCTCGCGTTTGAACTTGTCGGGATGCTTCGCGTTGGTGATTTGGAACCTCAATGTCTAGAGCGTGGGAGGCAGCTTGTCAATGATTCATTACATCGACGACTCCGTTATTGAATCCAAACACGCATCACCCTCGACGGCGAAAGAAGAACACTCTAATCACTCAACGAGCCCCTCAATTACCAGCCTACGATTGGTCGTTCTGCATCGGCGAGGTGTGCGCAATTGCCTCAACCACCAACACCTGAATCCCGTTGGCTTCACGCATGAGGTGGCCGATCGGCGCAAACCGCTAAGACACGAGCCACTGTTCGCACTGGGCAGATGGGTCCTTCCGGAAGATGCCGCAGAACCCCCGATTCGAACAGACATCCAGCCTCAATCCGAGCTAAGCCACATTGGCCGTAAGCACCCAGCTGTCGCGGCCGTTGTAGCTTGTGGCTTTTTTGCTCCTCGCAGCTTTAGCTTCGACCTCGACATCCCACTTCAACCTCACCTGTCACTTGTCTGCCTGCTCTCCCAGATCCAATCCCAACCAGCAGGCATGCGACCGGGTCACAATGGCGAACCCTGAGCTAGCAATAGCCAAGGCCTCCTTCAGCGCCATCCTCTTCCGCAAAGAGCCCGTCTCGCTCACCAGGCCCGAGATCGAGAGCTTCCACACCCTCCTCCACGACGCGATACACCAGTGCTCGCCCGCCAACGTTCAGGTTTGACGCCCTCCAACGGCCTCTACTATTGCCGCTGTCCTTTTTCTATCCACCTTTTCCATCTGCCATGTGCGCTCCTTTGTGTGGTTGCAGGTCGACTAAACTCCCGCCGCCTCTCTTTAGAAATGCAAGCGCTGGATCCTCAAGAACCTGGTCCCCTCGCCGGCGCGCGTCACCGCCGTCGGCAAATACCTGGCCGCCCTCTCCAACTCCTTTCCCGATGACGGCAAGACGAAGCCCTCCACACGGAGGAAGCGTCTGCACATCCTCTACGTCATCAACGACGTCCTCTACCATGTCGCCGTGCGCGATCGGGACGCACGCTTCGCGACAGCCCTGGAAGCCAGCCTGACGCCCCTCCTCCACGGCGCCGCCAAGTTTCCAAACTGCCCCAAACACGCGAAGAAGCTCGAGAATCTGCTGGCGCTATGGGAGAAGCATATGTACTTTTCCGCGACCGTCATCGACGACCTGCGCGAGACCGTCAAAGAAGCACCTCACGGCGGCAAGGTGTCAAAGGGAGGAGGACAGGGCCAGACGGGGTCGAGTCTCGGCGCGAGACCAACCAAAGATGCACCCTACACGATCCCCTCGATCCACGGCGATCCCAACGCGCCTTGGTTCGATCTCCCAGCCGCGAATTGGCTGCCGCACCTTACGCCCAACTCGACGAAACCCATGAACCCAGACATGATCAAGCCGCTGCAGCTCGCCCCAGGACCGGCGGACAAGGCCCTCGCCAAGGCGGTCAAGGACTTGCTCGCGGACGTCGAAAGGCTCTACAACCCAGGCGCGCCCCCGCAGGACGATCAGCAGCAGCAGCAGCAGCAGCAGCAGCAGCAGCACGCCGACCTCAGCGAGATGGGCGAGCGCATCGTTCTCGACGAGATCACGGGCGAGGTCGTCGACGGGGAGACGTACTACGGGTGGTCCCGCAGGTTCTGCGAGAAGATGAAGCAGCGAAGGAAGAAGACCAAAGGCGGAGCAGCAGACCGCGGCCGTGGGCGGTCCGACTCCAGGAGCCGTTCTCGGAGCTCCTCCCGCAGCCGATCCAGCAGAAGCGATTCCCCCCCGGCCTTTAAACGACGCAGACTGTCGCCGGACTCGCGGACTCCTAGCCGCAGTCGGAGCCGTGACCGTCGACACAGTCCTCGGCGGGGCAACCGTTACGACTCGAGAGACTATAGCAGGTCCATGTCCCGGTCAAGATCCAGGTCGAGGTCGCGTCCTCGGTACAGATCAAGATCAACCTCGCGCGATCGTGGCCCAGCAAGAGATGGCGATAGGAATAAGGGCCGCGCCAGTGCGAGCAGGTCACCACTACCACCACCCGACCGCAACCGGCACCACAACCCTCCAGAGTTTGGGGCAGGAGGCCACACCACCGGCTGGGGACAACCGCAACATCACCATCTTCAGCCTCCTCCGCCGCCCCCTCCCTCAAGCTACAACCCCCCGCAACCTCAAGCCTTCCCGCCGTACCCCCCGCCACTACCACAAGCGGCCGGCGGCTTCGGTCACTTCCCACCGCCTCCGCCACCGCCTCCGCAAGGCTACAATGGTCAGTGGCCGCCGCCGCCGCCACCGCCTCACCTCGGCGGCCCCCCTCCACAGCACGGCTGGGCTCCTCCGCCGCCGGGCCCAGGGGTTCCGCATATGGGTGGCGGGTGGGCGGCACCTCCGCCTCCACCGCAGCAGCAACAGCAGCAGAATCAGTATCAGCAGTACGGACGAGGTAATGGCGGAGGCTACCGTGGACGAGGGGGCAGGGGTGGAGGCTTCGATCGCGGCAGAGGCGGGTGGTAGTCAAGAAGACAGAGAGAGAAACCTGTAGATTAGCAAAATACACGCCATCAAACATGACACGAATACCGCAGAGACAACGCTTCAAAGCGCATTTTGCGTAAGCCGTTTTTGTTACCCAAGTCTAAAATTGTGGCGGAATCTTCGCCTGTACTCATTCATCGTCCAAGACAGAAATCAAGGGGGGTAGACCACCACCTCTCGATTTCTCTCGCGAGCTGTTTTCATCCGCTCCCCGGCTCGGGTTGCAGTAAAGCTCACGCAGGAAACAAAAAGGGAAAGCCGTGTCTTCCCCCCCAAAATTCCGTCCTTTGTACGCCAGTCCTATCTTTTCTCATCGTCCGCCTGGTTGTGCTTCCCTTTCCTCTCCCCTTCTTCCCAGCACACCCAACACAATAACGTTTTTTTTGTTCGAGCCCCCTCACACCAAAATCTTTCACCCCAAAAACGGCGGGCGGGGAAACAACTCGATCTCGAGTCGAGGTTGTATTCCACGCAAAAGAGAAAAAACAAAAGAAGTGACATCATGAAAATTAAGTATGTTCCCGGGGGCGGCGAGGCCCCATCCCTAGAGCACGGAAGCCTTTCTTTCCCTCCGCCTTGAGTCGTTTCCTGGGTGATCCTCTGAATCATTCCCTCCAGCATACAACTCATGCATGAGTTTCCCCTTTTAAAAAATCCCCCCTCAACCGGTTGAAGGCGTATCATTCAGTGATGTCGGTCCCCGTCATGACTCCTCGTCCGCCTCGGCCTTTTCTTCGCCGTTCTCTTCCGCGTCCTAGAATTCGTTAATCCATGGTCCAACAGGTAATGCTGCGTCACGAACAGAAAGCAGCGCAAAGGCACGTTGAGCAGGGGCAAATGACACGAGTAAAATCATGCGTGGTTGTGGGCTGATCATACCGAGTCTTGTTGCTCTTGCCGACGATCCCTGCGATCTCCATCCTGCAGCTTAAGAGAATCTAGTCGCTTCTGGTTGTCCTCGGTGCCGTCAACTTCGTCGACGCGGGAAAGAGATCCGGCGTGGGCTCTACCCGCAGTCGGTGCGCCGTTTGCCGATCGCCTTTGCTCGGCCTGGTCTGAGATTGAAGCCCATTTCCTCTCGCGCAAGGCTTCTCTGGCTGCGGCACTGTTCTGCTGCTCGGTGTAGTCGTGAGAGCAGTCGTCAAATAGTTGGGGATTGATCTCCATGAACAGCTTCATGGCGTTGTAAACCATGCCGTGAATGGTGCTGTGGATGGTTAGCAGGTCCTAGGTCTGTCGAGCGTGTGTAACTCACCGGTTCCAGTGGCCCTTTGAGTTTTCGTAAAGCGGCGCAAACATGATGGGCAGGATGATCTCAACATTGTCGCTGACGAGGTTGCAAAAGTACTCGTTGTTCCAGAAGTAGAGGGCTCGCTCTGCCACCTGGAAATGGGGGCTGGCGACAGACTTGGCGAGTTGGTGGAAAAGAGGCTCCTGAACCTTGGCAAACTCGGCGGGATCCATGACTTCGAAGATGTCTTCGACCTCGTTAAGGAACATCACCTCTTTTGTGCTGTTGACCTTGGGCCAGTATCGCAAGAGTCCGAGCACGACCTACACGTGTTAGTTCAGTCCACGACGGAATGACCGGGGGGGGCTCACCTCTTCCGTCAGTGACGCGTCCTTTTCGAGGAACTGGACAATGCAGTATGCCAACTGAGGGTGGTACATGCTGAGACTCTTGACTTTGTGCAATGGTATCAACACCCTTGTCAAGAATGTCTTGTGCTCCTCCTTCAGCGGCAAGGCAAAACCGTTGATAATGGATCCGAGTATCTCCAAAAGTTCGGCGATGCCATTGAATCTTTCCGTCTCGTAGGTGAACTGGAAGAAAACGTTGTTGATGGAGCGACGGATGAAGGACCGGAGGTTGAGGAATTTGCCGTAGATTCGGTGCAGGGTTGTCTTGAGGAAGTCCCTCTCGCGCGGGTCCTCGGAATCGAAAAGCTCCAGGAGCTGGAGGACGAAGCTGTGGTCAATGTAGGCTTTGGCAATGTTGGTGTTGAAGTCCTGGCTCTCGATGAATCGGAGAAAGAACTCGTAAACGACCTGGATATGGGGCCATGCAACCTCCAGGACGGGCTCGTCTTCCTCGGGATCGAACGCTTCACCCTGGGGGTTCATCGGCGGGGGAATAGGTCGGAAGAGGTTCTTGGCGAACATTTCGACGACTCTGGGGTACATTGGTTCCGTGATGACTTGGCGGTTGTTAGCTACGTAGTCGAGCAGCTCGTGGAGCGCCAATCGCTTGATCTCCTTGGACTTCATGTCACCGCTAGCATCGTTAAAGTCAAAGATGACATTGCACTGATCAATCTTTTGCATAAACAGCTCCTGACGACGGTTAGGGGGCACCTCGTGGAAGCCGGGTAGCTTCTCGAGCTCGCGGTGAGCAGAGATGTCGAATCTCGAAGAGTGTTGTCGCTTGGGTGTCCTCAGACCCTCGGGGACGTCCTTGGGGGTCTGGTGGAGGCGATCGAACATGAGCGACTTGGTGCCGGCCTTGGGGGGCGCGAGATCGTGCGGCATGGTCTCCGCTGCACCGGGAGGTGGGACATGCTGAGAGTGTCAGCGATCAGCAACGTCAACAACAATATGACGATGTCTTACCGGAGCACTGGGGCTGATGATGACAGTGGGCGGCAAAGTTCCATGACGGCCTGGAGAACCTCCACCGTTAGCACCTTGGGCTGCACCCGCAGAGCTGAATCGGTCGGCACCTTGCTGGTTGCTCAATGGAGAGGGCTGGTTCGCGGTGCCGTGCTCTCCGCCAGCGTTGTTAGGAGGCAGGGGCTTGTTGCGGGCGTCGGCGAGGTTCGTGGTGGAGGACGAGGGTGTCGGGTTGGGTGACTGGTTGGCATCTCGGCCTGACCCAGCACCGCCGGGGGATGCGGTGCCATCTTTGGCGTCCTTATTCTTCTTAGGCTTATTTGGGTCTTTGCCGCGCGAGAGCTGAGCATGCTGGGTTGTCAATATCGTGTTCAACAGCGGGATTGGGCTTCAGGGGCCCGGGTATTGACGGAGAACTCACCACCCTCTGGCTGAAGCGCTTCATTGTGGACGTCACTGTAGTGTCCCTCTCCGTGGGGCGACAGACTCGCCGACTCGAAAGCTGCAACTAGAGACAGTATACCGCAATGGACGCAGGTCCAACGATTCGGGATATGGAGGAGCGCAGGGCGAACGACGGTCGAGGTGCAGGTGGTGCTGCAGGGGGTAGTATCGGCCGGGTCGTCGAATGTGGGCAGTCGATGCGGGCGGGTTGGTAGACGGCCCGGATGGTGAGCTGCGCAGTGAATGAAAGGTTAATGCGTGGGCGCGGTGGAAGTCTAGGCGGTAGCGAGCGCGTCGGCAGATCGATGTCGACGTGATGATGAAAGGAGGGCGTGGGCGTCGCTGTCGCTGTCGCTGTTGCTCGGCGAGGGCTGGGGTTGGGTTGTCAGGAAGGCGTCGCTTCTGGATGCGAAGAGCAGGGGGAAGCTAGAGTGTCGGATTGGCGGGTGAGTTGCGACAAGGGAACGACCCATCAAAAGTTGGCAGATGAAGGGAAGTTTGGAGCGATCGGGCAGCGAAAGGAAGAGAGCCAGACGCGAGAGGTTCTTGAGAAGGTAGATGGGGGGTGGAATCTCTGGATCGTCGGTAAAGCTGAAGTTGTTTGCGGGGCCCAGGTGTGAAGTGTGAGACGACGACGCGGGACCAGAAAGCCGACCTCCCCTAACGTGCTAGCGGCGGTGGAAATATTAAGGTAGAGAGCGAGAGACTGAGGTGCTGGTGGACAGCTGGAGACGGCCCAGTGATGCGCGGCAGCCAGCCAGGAACAGGCCTTGACACTGGGAGGGCTGTTGACGCGGGGGGGGGGTTAGGGTTGGAGTTGGAATCCGAGGGGGATAGAAAGGGTTCAGATAAGGCAAATTTGACAGTTGTTCAATGACAGAATGGGTTTGGAAGAAGAAGAAGTGGTGATGAGGATGCGCATTGGGACTCCAGATAGAGACACGCAGTCGGCATATGGTGCTGTTGTAAGAGGGGACAGGAGGGATGAGATTGACGAGTGGAGGTCGAGGCTGTGGGCAGACCGCAGTGGACAGTGGAAGGTGTGGTCTGGTGCTTCCCTTCCCGGCTGCATCAGCAACCTAACTGGACAGACTGCAGCATACCACAATCGCACCTACCTTACTGTGCAGGAATTGGGTGGGAACCGCGAGTGGGTTTTGGGCTGTTGAACTGGCACACTGGCACACTGAGGTGGTGACTGGATACAGGACAGTCGCTGCGAGGACCACAAGCTACAACAGGGCACCACGAAGCAGCAGCAGGCGTGCAGGGCCGACCGCAGGTGCTATGCAGAACGGATGGGGTAAAGGGGACTTTGGTACCTCCCTACTGCGAGTGATAACAACTGTCGCCGACTGCCACAGACTGGTGGCTGTGCACGGATGCTTTCAGGATTAGGTAAGATAAGTCGCCCTCGTCTGGTTGGACAGCTCTGCGTGGTGCCTCTTCGTCTTTGACGACTCTGATTGGCGGACTGGGAGCTGGACCCTGGAGCTCAATTTCTCCTGACGGCCGTAGTGTTATTCCGGAGGATTTTGACGGGTCCGGGTCGGGTCACTGCACCTCCTTGGCCCCCACAGACCATCTCCACACAAAGACATCACAATGCACACAGAGCCAAAGATCATGACAGCACACTGCCAAGCCACGCACCCAAGGTGCCAAACTGAAGAAAAAGGGTCCCGTTTCGTTTGAGCCGTGCCATTCTTGACCAGACACACACTGTGATAACATCACTCCTGCTACGCATCTGGATAGGTACAGTATGTACTAAAAGCGCTGCAAGTCACCTGCTAGCCCTTGCAGGGACCTCTCCTTGGGACGCATCCCGCCATGTGGGCATCATCACATCACCATGGGGCCCAAGCTGCCTCAGAAACAACCGTCGCCCAGTTCTTCGGGAACAACTCTACAACTGATCAACATTGGACGAAAAAAAGGGCCAGCTGAGCCATCTGAAACGCGAATACGTCCGTCTCCATTCCTGTGAGACTCTACATCGCTGTAAATAGAGTTGATGGGGTTTCTTGATGGGAGAATCATCGCGTGTCTTTCACATCCTTATCTGTGTCTGAGACGACATTCATCTGATGTCTCTTTAGTGATGCCACATCAAATCTAGCAAGACATAAACTTCGTGACAACTTTTTGTCGGTTTCCATCGCGCCTGCCATTGCGCGAGCTCTACAGTGCAGGGACTCCATGCCGCCCAGAGCACCCGCTGAAAATGCAGTGACCATTCGGGACGGGCTACACTTCGCACCGTGCATCAATTCAACCTCAGTCGCTCAGGACGGCATCAAAATTCCAGTGACAGCCACGGGGTGACCAGAACGGCATTCGGTCTCGCCAAGCGCTTCTCCTGGGACATCTTCCATTACACAGTCTTCTACGGCTTCCAAGTCGGAAGCAGCCAATCAATTGGCTCCGACTGATTAACCACCACCAAACCTCAACCCAAGTGTGTTGATAGACCCCAGCATGCAAGCCGTCGCCATGGACACCCAGGACGAACCCGTCAATGATGAGACGGCGCAAGAAGGCGTAACCGTGGATGCGGCCCCAAAAGAGACGCGCAGTGGCCCATCACCATCCAGCAAAGACAGCAGCAACTCGGCACCCCGATTCTCGATCCCCAAGAGGACCATGGGCGCTGTCGAAATCCCCATGGTTGTCATGAACCTGGATCGGACAGAAAAGGCGTTTGGCAACGTCTCGTCTTTTCAGAATGTGTGTGTCGCGGCGTCCTCGAGGGTGTCTTTCTGATACTGACGCCATGTCCAGATCCTTGATAGTGAGCGCAACACAATTCCCTTCTATCTCAACCCAGAGAGCCCTTTCCGCAGACCCATCATGTCTCACAGCGCTACGAGCCACAATGTGGTCTTGAAGGTCACGGTCCCGAAGCGGACCGGCAGGAAAAGGAAGCGAGGGACGGATGGGCCGTGGGAAGGTGAAGTCGACATGCGGGATGTGCCCAGAGCCAGCCCGACAGCCGAGGCGATTTACTCCAGGTCGCGGCTGGACAATCCAAAGCTCCTGCGGCGGAAAATGCGAGACAACATCGACAGTTACGGTGTAGAAGCCGTCGGAGTCATTAAACACACCCACCGCTTCAGAGGTAAGGACATGCGCATCGACTCGTTTACCCAAACTGACAAGAGACAGGCATGGCGGATTTCCACTGGGGCCTCGAGCAGTCTCCTTTTATTTCGAGGTTCATGAACCAGGTCATGCCTGGCGACAGTAAGTCGAGCTTCAGCGCTGGCCGAGTCGTGCCTAACAAGCCACAGTCACCAAGATGAGGGACTTCAAGTTCATTGACGGCGTCGACAAGGGGCCAAACGTTGATATTGTGCCGCCGCCCGTGTGGACGCCAATGACGCTTCCCTTCATCTACAACTACTCCCAAAACCCATATGTCCGCACCGAGCTCGACCAGACAGGCCAGGCCCAGCTCATCAACACCCAGTTGCCCACTCTCATCGGCTACTTCCTCAAAGCAGACCAATATCCCATTCCGCCTGGCCCGCAAACCCCTTACGACGGCTCCGACGAGGAGGTCACCTACTGCATAGCTCGCATGCTGGAGGCGATGGAAGAGCGGCCCATTTGGACGCGGCGGTCCCTGATGAACAAGCTCGGGTCCGTTGTCCGCAACGCCAACGTCATGAAGCGCTGCGTTGGCTACGTCGGCTACCAATTCCGTGGCGGGCCCTGGCGCGATGCCATCATCAGGTACGGCGTCGACCCGCGCAACGATCCCTCCTTCCGAACGTACCAGACAATGATCTTCAACATGCGCAAGCTCCAGGCTGGGCACATTGGCGAGACATGGCACGCTATCCGCAGCCTGCGCACCGAACAGCGCCAGCCCCAGGGCGACAACCACGAGTCCCACGTCTTTGACGGCAAGTCCTACTGGACCGACGGCAAGGTCTGGCAAATTTGCGACATTACCGATCCCCTGATTGCAAACATCTTTGCCACGGCGCCGCAGCGGCCCGAGGTCGACATCTACAACAGCGGCTGGTACCACCAAGGCACGTGGGCCAAGGTCAAGGGCATCATGAAGACCAAGATGATTGCGATCCAGTTTGGGCGCAAGCTCACGGACGACGACTTTGCCGGCATCTATGAGGTGCGCGACACAACGCCGCCGCCGGGTTCCTCGAGCGTTCACGTGCCGCTACCCGACCTCGAGCTCACCGACGCCGAGAAGCGTGTGCTGTACGGCCGGCGGTTCAAGGAGCCAAAGAAGAAGCGCAAGGGCACCGCGTACCGCGTCACTAAGTCTAACGGGCCGCGGGGTGTCGCTGCCGCCGCCGCCGCCGCCGCGGGGCGCAAGGCTGCCGGTAAGGAGGATGAGCTCAGCGCGGAAGACAGTGACGAGGACGACAGCGAGGAAGACATTGACTATGATGGCGATGCAGATTACGAGCCCAAGAGGCGGGTCTTTGCACCCGTGCCTGGGCTTGATGAGGGTATGGAGGAGGAGGAGGAGGAGGAGGAGTACGGTGACGAGGACGATGATGGAGAGGGCTACGGGTATGACGCCGACGGTGAGAGGTATGATGAGTACGATGAGGGGCTTGTCGGAGAGCCAGTCGTCTATGGTGGTGCTCGTGAGCGGCGCGGCGTTCGGTTCGCAGACCAGCCCGGCGATACGGACGTGGATGCGGCGTATCCCTCGGAAGTCCTGCCTTGATGAGAATAGGGGTGTGTCAATGTAAGTGGTGTGGTGAGTCCTCAGCCCAGAGATGATCACAGTGGCTTAGGTTTGGTTCAAAGTTGAGGCAGAGGAGTCCTGGCAACGGGTCATGCTGTATTATGCTGTTTACAAACTAGGCCGAATCTCCCATCTCGGATGTATTCCCATGCCCATATCTTATGCTACCGTATTCCGTTGAAGCACTCCCAGAAGCCTCAGATCGGGAGACCAAAAAGAAAGAAATTTACTAGTCCTAAACTAGCGCGGCAACGAAGACCGCACAAAACGTATACGTAAGAGACACCGCGAGAGAGACACCGCGAAGGAGAGACAGAGAGAGATCCCTCACTGCACCCTAAGCACCTTGGTCTTATTCTCCTTCTGCTGCCTCATCCCCTCCACCCACGCCGCTGTCTCCCGCAGCGCCCGCCGGGGATCCTTTTTCCGCTTCAGCAGGAACCCCTGGATCTCGGCCGGGCTGAAGTGGCCGTCGGGGATCAGGGCGCCAAACTCGTCGGCGATGCGGCCCAGCTCCTCGCCGTCGAACTCGTGGCGCTTCTTCTCGGCTGCTGCCGCCGCCGCTGCCTCTGGTGACGACGGCGAGGAGGAGGAGAGTTGGTCCGCGGGTGAAGGGAAAGAAGACTGCGTAGCCGAAGGAGTCGAAGACGCTGATGCGGACAATGGTGTGGCACTCGACGAAGAACCCGCACTCCCTCCGCTCCCATTCACAACAATACTCGGCTTGGGATTCGTAGGCGGCGCCACGTGCCCGTCAACCCTCTTGGCCGGACTCGCCCCGTCAGCCTCGTACATGCGCTGAAACAGCTCCGTCGCCTGCGCCGGCGTGGCGTTGGTGAAGCCGACCTGCAGATCCACCCGGCCGGGCCGGATGAGCGCCTCGTCGAGGGATTCGGGCTTGTTGGTCGTCATGACGAGGATGCGGCCTTCTTGGGATGCGACGCCGTCGATGGCGTTGAGGAGCCCGGAGAGGGAGATGCCCTTTTTATCGTCTTTGGATTCTTTTTTCAGGGCGCGCGCGAGGTCCGAGACTTTCCAGTCTTCTTTGTTTGTTGCTGCCGAGGCCTTTTTGCTGTTCTCGTCTTTGATATTGTCCTTGTTGGATTTATCGTCACTTTCTTTCGTGCCGTTGGGGCCCCCGGCAGCACCACCACCACCACCAGAGCCATCAGCCTCGTCTTCGACGCGCGCGAGGCCCGCGGTATCGATATCCTCCAGCAGAACAACACACCGCCTCGGCAGCGAATTAAACAACGTCCCCAAATCCTCCTCCGTCAACGTCGGCTCCAACAGCGAAATCACAAAAATATCAAGCCCAAACACGCCCGCGAGCGCAAACGACAAACTCGTCTTCCCCGTGCCCGGCGGGCCATAAAACAAATACCCCCTCCGCAACGGAATGCCGCGGTTCGCGTACCACCGCGGCGTCGCGGGGTGCAAGTACTCATTCATGTCAGCCATGACCTGCGCCTTTTGCCGCGGGTCCAGCACGACGGTGCGCATCGGCCGGACGGGCCGGTTGGCGACCTGGCTCCAGTTGTACCGCCCGCCGTAGCGGCGCATCGGCGCCGGGCTGGGCCGTTTGATGGTTGTGCGGGCGTAGTGGTCCTGGTAGTAGAATTCCTTGACGAAGCGGAGGAGGTCCTTGATGGGCGACGGGTTGCGGCCGAAGCAGGAGACGATGAGGTCTTCTTCTTTGCGGAACGTGCCGTAGTTTGATTCGCCGTCAAAGACAGATTGTTGTTTGCGGTGGAGGCGGAAGTAGCTGTTCTTGTACCAGAAGCCGTGGACGCCGACGGCGGGGACGTATCGCGGGGGCTGTACTTCGGTATTAGTTACGTTCTTGAAACTTAACTCGTATTAAATGTTGTTATGGAAGAAGGGGGGGACTCACAGCTTTGGCTTCTTGATTCGAAAAGTTGAGAAACTCCGTCGCGCCGCTCCCGCTCCCGGCAATCGTCCTCGTCTGCAGCGCCTCGAGCTCCTCCTCCTCCTCCCACGCCGTCTTGCTCACCGTCTCGGCCGTCAGCGAGCGGGAACTCGCCATCAGCGGCTGGAGCGCCAACCACTTCATCATGTGCGTGTAAATCTCGTCCGTGCTCGAGATGTGGATGGAGCTCATGAAATTGTCCTGAATGAGACGGAAGACGGCGCCGTAGGCCTGGCGGCCGACGCGGTTCGCGGCCCAGAAGAAACCCGCGAGCGTCAGAATCAACGTCGGGTCGATGCCGAGGTTGGAGCCGATCATTTGGTACAGGAGCATCAGGGAGCGGACGACGGGGTTGAATTGTCCGCCGAGCATGGGCAGCAGGCTCTCCATCATCTTGTTGTTGCCTGCTGCGTAGCCTCCTCGTCCGCCCGTCATGTTCTCCGCCATGGCGGTTAGGTTGCCTTTGAAGAGGGTTGAAAAGTCCATCTTGCTTAGGTCTATCATGGCGATGGGGTGGCAATAGGATTGCTTGGGCGACAAGATGGATTGCAGACGCCCTGCCTGTTTATATATGTTGACAGAGACAAACTAGGCGCCAGAGGCAGAAGTAGTAGAGTTGTGGATTCAAAGAGTGGACGTTGAAAGAGGCAACTCGAGTGAGCCGCGTATCTAGTTAGGCAATCGTCGTATTCGTGCCTAATCCAGACATTGAACGGGAAAAGTCCTTTGCATAACAGAGCAACTGAGAGTACGCGCCACACTATAGCCTTGCAGTCGACTCTGCAGAGTCTGACAGAGTCGGAATCCGAGACTGCGGAGGTAAGCAGAGTTGCCTGGAGTGGCGAATGAATTTCACGGCCTCTGCCATGGTGAACCAGACTAAGACCAATTTGCGGCTCTGTGATTGACCCGATGCAACGGCTCTAAACAGGTGACTGCAACAGAGACATAAAGAGTGTGGGGGGAGTGTACGTCGATGGGTCAACGTCATCAGTCGTTTTGCTGTAAGCCTGCAACAAGAGAAACCCACATTCGCGGCAGGCAGTGGAAGAGAACCTGTGCTGCTGTACCACCGGTAATTCAAGGTTGCACTTGCAGTTGGAGTGTCATGTCCGGGGTAGCAACTTGCGAATCAACCAAGTCACATGTGACTCATACGATCTAGATCTTTGCGAGACTGAGACACAACATCCCAGCAACTACAGTGACTGTTCATCAGAGTTGAGATGGCAAAAGGGTCGGCAAGTCGGCTCCGAGGGATTGTCAAGTTCAAGACCGAGTTGCAGTGTCTCTGTTGACGCTTAAAAGGGGCGAAAGATACGAAGAGAAGTTGTGGGACTCAATGTTGACAGGGTCCAGCACCCCCTAGGAATAACCTGAGTCTTGAGGCCGCCGCAGTTCCATGGCCGTGTGGCTAAGGGCGCTGGGCCGTTTCTGGCCGTCACTGCATGCTTCTGCTAGTGGAGGCCTCAGGCAGATGCCGTCTTATCCGGGTAACGGTATCCACAACGGCCGACACGGTCGGGTAGGGTCCATTTTACTCGGCGCTGGTGGCTACTGCAGCCGGTCCGGGATCTGTTGACCTTCCGGCTGCCGGACGATGAAGCAAACTAGCATAAGGTAATGAGATTATTTTATTTGGCAGCATCGCGAGCTGACTATGCTTTCCCCGTAATTATTTCCAGCAGCATGGGCAATGATCGAGACGCCTCCTTATGCCGAATCCAACAGTCTTTCTCAAGTCCCTAGTCACTCCTGTTCGCCTAGTCCCGTCAATTTCATCTTTTCTAGTTCGCCATCCTTCCTTCTACTCACAGTTCACTTGAGATAACACTGCAGCGCACACCTGTTCCCGCCCCAGTTGTTGCTAACATGCTTAAACTTGCCCCCCTCGTTCATCCCAGCCCGCGCGCAGGGCAAATCGCAGTCCGAGTCCTTGTAGGGGTCGCTACCGCCGTTGGCATCGTTGCAGTTGTACCACGCCGCGACGCTGAGCTTCTCGTACTTGCACAGCGGGTCTTCGCTGATGAGCTCTATCGACTGGACGCCGACGACGCCAAGGGCGAAGAGGGCCGTGAACTTCATGTTGGCCCAGAGGGGAAGAGAGACGGGGAGATGTATAGATAGAATTGCTTAGGTTTTGGATGTAGAGCAGTAACTTTTGAGACTAATGTGTTAGTTCCTGTGGATCGAAGCGTTTGTATATGAACTCGTTGGGTTCGGGTTGCTCCCACTTCCCTATGTCAACTCAACGCAACCGCGGGTGTGTAGATCACAACTACTGCTATCAAAACTTAAATAGAGTAAGGTGTATGTTAAGTAACTCGTAAAACTCTTCTACAACTGTACATGGCTATTTTTCGTATTGTCCAAGGGGTTGCCCATGGCAGACAAGAGGACCAAGCTACAAGAACGACTGCAAGTAACAGGGCGCACGCGAGTCGTGTTTAATCTTCCAAGCGGAACTCTTCAAGACCTACACGGCCCAAAAGACCCTGGAAACGCCCCAGGAACGAAACCGAGGGCACAATACGCGCCTTCTACCGGTTGATAATGGGTTTCAGACTCTGAGCGGCTGCATACCATGGAAATTCACGAGTCATTATAAGTGCTCGACTTCGCATTAGGTCCACTTCCCGCTGAGGATTCCATGATGAGTAGGGTAATGATGATCTACTGGAAGGTACTCTATCCGGAACGCTCTGCCGTCGATACGAGCGCGACCCAAGAAACGTTGTTGTCTTCAATCCAGAGAGCCGCCCGAGCTGTGGCAGAACGACAGGACCTCGAGGTCTACAGGGTTGAGGGCAGTGCCCCTGAGTACCATCGCTTGGCTATCGACGAGAAAGCTGCTCTGATGATATCCTAGCCATTGTCAAAAGGCCAAAGACGATGGATGGAACTACTTCAGTCAAAATGTTGATCGACATATCTTGAACAGGCGCCTCTGATATTCCAGCCTACACACGAAGGATGCTCAAGCTGTCAGCTCTATCAATGCTAGTCTAGAATGCCCCTTTAATCTGACTCTTCATCACTGTCGTCGCCCTCACTATCGTCCTCTTCGTCATCATCACTCTCACCGTCCTCGTCATCTTCGAGCTCCTCCTCGTCCTCGTCACCCTTGAGGCCGTAGTCGTCATGGAAGTAGGCGAGCTGCTGGACATCCGTCTTGTAGCCCATCTCCTTGAACGCCTTTTCAATGTTCTGTAACAATACGTCAGTAAATGTTCGTTGTGAAACTGCATCGTAAAAAACATACCTCCTGCAAGATCGGAGCGCAGGTAATGACAACATTACTCTTGCCAGGCTTGAAAACAGGCATGACGAGCTCCTTGAGCACCGTCTTGATCTGCTCGTCCGTCACGTCCCGGACGTCCCTCATGACCTTCTTGTGCCAGTCCAGCGGCAGGCTCCGTACGACGCCGAGCATAAAGTTCTGCGCCGCCGACGACGCCATCGTCGACTGCTCGTCGGCGAACTGCACAACAACCTGGCTGATGGCGCCCTCCTTGAGGTGGCGGTCAATCTCGACCTCGCCCTCGGCGATCTTACGGATCGTCTCGCGCGACACGGCAAACGCCTTGCTGGCGTCCGGCGAGCGGTACACCTTGTACTGGATCACGCCCGTGTCGAGCTCGCGGCCAAAGTACGAGCCGTACGCGAGCCCCTGGCCGCGGACCGAGTTCCAGAGGGGGCCCTCGGTGGTCTCGAGGTAGCCAATGGCCACCATGATGGCCGGGAGCCGGGGGTCGTCAAAGGACGTGATGCCCTTAGCCGTGCTGACGCCGTAGGAGCTCTCGGCTGTGGTCATGGGCACGATGGTGGCGCCGACGGTTCCGGGGTTCTGGCCCTCCTTTGTGAGCAGGGTGTGCGGCTTGATGATGGGGAGCAGCTCGTTGGAGCCCTTGAGGTTGTGGCTGAGGATGTCCCAGGCGGCCACGGGCTCGGGCAGGCGGGCGACGTCGGCCGTGACGAGGATGCGCACGTTGTTTGAGGTGAAGAGGGACTTGCGCAGCTGCTCGAACCAGGAGAGGACCTTCTCCGGGTCAGAGGCAATGAGCTTCTTGAGGCGACGCAGGTAGATGGCTCTGACGAGTGCCCGCTTGGCAACCGAGTAGGACTCCTTCTTCATGTGAATCGACATGTCGATTTCAGATGCCATTGACCTACCATCACGCTTCAGCTCGGGGATGTCGGCCAAGTGCTTCTGGACGCCCGCCTTGAGGCGCTGGGTGTCGAAGACGCTGTCAAACATCATGGTACGGATCCAGTTGATCACGGTGGAGTACTTTGCAGCCTCGATCTGGAACTGGATCATGACGCCGTCGGGGTCGCCGTAGTCTCTTGTTGAGCGCAGACCATAGCTAATGGTGTCCTGCTCCAACTCCATGACAACCTGCTCGAAGCCAACCTTTTCTCCATCGCGCATGATGGGTGTGTTGAAGAAGTTGTCGTTGAAGATGGGCAGCAGCGGCTTCAGCTCGATCGGCACCTGCGATGTACCGAGATAGACCGTCAGGTGCACAAAGTTGGTTGGCACGCTCTCGAACTGGATGAAGAGGGGATCTTGCCCTTGCTTGGCGTTGTCAATGACCTTTTGCGCCGCGTTGTCGACGAGACCGAGGCCCTTGGCCTTTCCAGACCTCGCCGTGTCAGACTCTATGAAGTGAATCGACTCGGTACCAGGGACAGCCCACTGATCAATCACGGAGGCCGGAATGGGCTCATCGTTCTTAGCCTTGGCGGCATCGAGACGCTTCTTGAGGTCAGCCAGGCCTTCGGCGCCAAGCTCCTCCTTTCTCTTTGCAAGTCTCGCCTCCTCTTCGGCCTTTTGCTTCTTTGCGAGCTCGTGGGACGGCTTGCCGAGGATGGAGACGTGGGGAGCATCGGACAGCCACTTACGCAAAAAGTCCCTCCATTGAGCGTCGGTCCACTTCTCGAGCTCCTCGTACTCGGACAAGGACTGCAAGTCCTTGAGCGTCGAGCCATCACGCTTGCCAAAGAGGTAGTCTGTGATGATGTTGTTGGAGTAGAAGCCCTCAGACTCCTCGGCCTGGAACTTGACCTGAAGGCGTTCGCGATGGATGCATGAGGTCAGGTACGCCATGTCCAAGGGCTTCGATGCCACTTCCATTAGCAGGTCGACGAGCCTCTTCTCGACAAACTCCAGCTTCTCCGTCTCGACACCAGTCGGCTGGAACCAGATGACGGAGTTGGGCCGGGCATCCCACCAGTAGGATACGGAGCTTGCAAGCTCCTCCTTTTCGACAATGACATTCTCGAGAATTGACACAGAGGAACCGCAAAGATATGTCAGCAACACGTTGAGTGCAGACGTCTCGATGGTGTTGGTGCAGTTGGGGCCGTAAAAAGCCACAGTGATCTCGCCGACGGATTCATCCTCTTCGGGGAACTCGGCTGTCGTTATGATGGTCTCCTTGAGCGCCGGGGGCTGTGCTGAGTCGATCCAGGGTCTGCAAACTCACGTCAGCATGGTTTATTAGGCGTGGGGGACTGAACTACCTCTTGAAAGGGGAGTCCAAGGGCGGAAGGTCGTCCTTGATGCTCTCCTCGAACTCGTCAAGAATCTGCAGCAGCTCGTTGTGGTCCGCTTCGCCAATGATGACCACGGCGAGGTTGCGGGGCTGGTACATGTCACGGTGGAATTGGCGGATGCGATCAGGGGTCAGAACCCGGAGGGCCTCGGTCATGCCTCCGGTCTCGTAGCGGAAGCCCACGTTCTCCGGGTACAGCAGTCGGCGAGCGCGAAGGTCCATGATTTCGGCGCTCTTGAACTGGACAGCCTGCATCTCTGAGTAGACGACACCCGCATCGTTGCCCTCGCCGTCAATGTGGTGCACTTCGGTGATGCACGCCTCGTCTGTGATGACGGGCACGATGACGTGCTCGAGGTACACTGGTAGGATCTGGGAGAATCCTTCCCAGCCAGCGCTCTCCAACGTGTACGCGGTGTGATCTGTTGCAGTCCAGGCGTTCGTTCCAGAGTAGGCTCGGGAGGCCAGCTTGTCGAGAAGTCCCTTGTAGCGGTAGTTCTTTGAGCCCATGAATACCAGATGCTCGAGAGTATGGGGGGCGCCTGAGTCGTCAAAGATCTCGGTTGCGAGAGTGAAGTAGCCGTTGGTCTTGGGGCCCTTGCGGTCGGCTACAATAACCTGCATGCCGCTCCTCTCCGAAACATACTGGCTGATTTGGCAAGGAGCATAGTCCGTCTTGAAGCTCTGGACTTTGCGGAACCGCGGCTGCGGCTTGCGTTGCTCCTCAGGCGACATGGTGTGTGACTTTGCTTTGAACAAGCTTTGAAATGATCTGAGAAAGGGTCAGCTTGGTGTCTTGGTCGAAGACATTTGTAGGAACTAGGACATCTTATGGAGACGTAGGAATGGGCATCAGGGCAGGGGTTTGAAGGAGTCATAAGCAAATAGTTTCAAAGCTCTGAGGGGCGAGCCATAACAAACGCAGCTGAAGCAGGGTAATACGAGTCTCATGATGAGAGCTGAAGCTCTTCGCCCAAAAACAGGACGTCACCCAACTAGCTCTTGAAAACGGGAGGGGGAAGAGAACCAGACAACGGATAGATGCAGAAGTTCGTATGACAAACGGCCATACGTCCGTGAACACCATGGCACCCAGTCCGAGAAGAGACATACCCAGCTCTGTTGGATAAGATGTGCCCATGATGGGGAACAAAACAAGCCGCCAGAAGCGCAACAGCTACAGCAAGCGCCACTTGACTGGCTCCAATCTTCAACATGTCGACGTGTCAGACACGGGAAGGATGCCCTCAGACGGTTTGGGCTGAGCTGATGGTATGAAGCTCGCAGCCTCGGAGTGGTGTAGTGCAATGCGCCATGGTAGCCAAGCACTTGACAGGCGAAGAAGAGAGAGAAGCAGAATGACAAGGGGCCAATCGGGGAAATTCACTTGAGCGAAGAAGGCGAGCGAGACGGGAGGAGAAAAAGGCGCAGCAGCTTACCGTACAGAAACCGGCTTTGCCAGCCTGATGGACAGAGATGAAGAAGACCAATGAGGCTTCCCGAAGCGTATTGGCCAGCCCGTGATAGGGAACGATGTAGCGGTTACCTAACCGCCGCCACGAGAGATGTTGACTCAAGGATGGAGGGGTATCGACCGCACGGGAAAAGGAGCTGATGCTGAGGCTTACAGGCGGTCCTCAGGGGTAGGTATATATGGCTGAGCTTTGGTTTCCCGTTGGTGGTTTGTTTTGCGAGTTACCGAGTTTGTCGGTTCGTCGCGGGGCACGAGAACGTGAGAGATGGTCGCTGGCCGTACAATGAGCGCACTGAGCCATCTGCCTGCCCCTCCAAAGTCCAGGGCAAGGGACCAGTGGAGTTTATCTTTATTTATTTATTTTTGATTTTCGCAAGTCATCGGCGGGGTGGCGGCTCCCGATTGGCTCCTTGCCGCGGGAGAGCACGTTGGGTCAAGCGCCAGCCGCTCGGCACAAGGTCGGATCAGACGCGAGGTACGTACTGGGGGCCGACATTGAATTGTGACGTGGGTGCTTTCGGGACAGCTATGCAATCCAGTGTCATAATTGACCGTAGCTCATCGCCTGGTTTTATGCGACATCGCTTCTCGACGAGGCAAAGTCCTCCTGTCGCCCATTTCTTGGCTACGTATCTGCAGAATCACGACGTCTGAACTCTGGGCGAACCATTCGAACTGTGTATCCACCGCATTCCACTTCCTGCGAACCGACCTGACTTCTGGCGCCACCCCCCGACCGAAACGGCCCCGCGATATCTAGAGCTTCGAGAAGCCACACGTGTGACCCGCACACGACGGCGGAACGAGAAGATGGCCGTCGAAACAGATCAGAGCGCCTCTGCGCAGCTCGGAGAGGCTGTTGTTGCATTTGCGCTCGAGGGACACTTCCCTGACGAGCAGGTGTCATCGCTGTCGCTGTCCTCGTCAGATCTGTCGCCTGCGATCGATGCGCTGGAACGAGCCAAGGGTGATTTGGAGGTATGCGAGGGCTACAGCGAGCAACGCCAACCTCTTACTGACGCATGCGCAGTCCGAAATCCACACGATAAACGAGGAGACCAAGGGCGACGTCAGCTCGTGGGTGCACAATGCGAAAACACTACAGGAAGATATCTTGCGATCCAAGAGGCTGGCCGATGATATTGTCCGACAATCGGAAGCGCCGCAGGTTTCAGGAAAGGCGATACAGGATGCAGAGGACCACATTCAGTTTCTCGAGAAGGAGGTGCTATACACAAACCAGCTGCACGAAGCCCTCAGGGGTATCCAGCATGTCAACGAGCTCTTAGGGGAGGTCGAGCAGGCGATGAAGGAGCGGCGCATCATCGACTCGCTCCGGTGGTTGGAGAGTAAGAACCGTTAATCGCATTGAGATCAGGGCGACGGGCTAACGCTGTGCAGAATCTTGGACAGAACTCGATGCTGTCCCAGTCAACAAGAAGGCATGTCGAATCATGAGGCTTCTCGACGTGAGAGCTTTCGAGCTAAAGTCACACGTTCACGACGTTTTCGACCACGTGTGGGCATCGCTCGTCCACACGGATCTCGAAGCCGGGTCCCTGGCAATCTACAATAAGTTGGATGGTACTTTGTCCCCATCTGACTAGATTCACAGGAAGCTAACAGGAACAGACGAGCAAATGACGCTGTCAGAAGCCATCATCGGTCTCCAAGCCTACAAGGAGGTTGAAGACCGCATGTCCAAGCTGTGGCACGATGTTGACAAGGCCATTGTCTTTCCGCGAATGGACGCTCAAGCTTCATCACTGCCGTCCATCCGCGAGACTGAAGTAAGCCCCAGAGATAACGTGGTGACCCAAGCACTAACACCAAGCAGAACGTTGTGGAACTGAACGGTCAAGCTGGAAGATCAATCGACGAGTTATTTGCGGACCTCCAAAAGGTGGTTGAGTTCCTGGCCAAGAGACTGACACCTGATCTCCTCATGTTCTTCAGCCCCATCATGATGAGCGACCTGGTACCGAGGCTCATCTCAGTGTGGCTCGACTCAGAAGTGCCTTCGAATCTGAAAGACCTCGGGAGGTTCCAGGCCGTAATCGAATCTGCGAGGCGGTTTTGCGAGGTCCTTGAAAACAACGGCTTCACTGGGTTTACGGAGCTCAAGGAATGGGTTGGCAGTGCGCCGTCAATATGGCTTGCAAAGTGCAGGGAAACGGCCCTTGATTCGGTGAGGGTGCAAATGTCAAACGGTGCGTCACCCCGCGTCTGCCCCTTTGAGACAATGCTAACGCTGCGTAGGCCTTGGCACCACGAAACAAGTCGAAAAGGTGGAAAAGCAAATGGTATCACGTTCCGAAGGCAAGGAGTTGACGGCGAACGGTGTAGCCGGCACCGTTGCAGAGGATGACTGGGGTGCAGAATGGGGGGTCGACGACGATGAAGAGCCGCCAGAAGTCAAGGACGATACTCAGGAGGAAGATGACGGTGCCGACGCATGGGGGTGGAATGATGAGGAGCAAACTACGGAGAGCGCACCGAAAACGACTGCGCCGGTCGAGGAGAAGACGGCAGACGACGAGGATGACGCAGCCGACGCGTGGGGTTGGGGGGATGACGATGCGACAGCACAAACGGAGCCGGAGCCGAAGCCTCAAGCACCAAAGACGCAAACGAAAAAGCACAAGACGGTGTCTACTGAGCCAGATGAGAGCAGGGAGATGGTTCTCAAGGAGACGTACCACATCTCCTCCATGCCGGAGCCGGTGCTGGAGCTTATCCTGGCCCTGCTGGAAGACGGCGCGGCTCTGACCCAGCCAGAGTACGTTGTGAGCCTTACCAACTCGGTGATCCTTCTAACATTCGTAGGTACGAGAGCAGCCCAGTGGCAGCCGCCGCCCCGGGTCTCTTCAGTTTGCCGACGTTCGCATTAGCCATGTTTCGAGCAGTGTCGCCGCATTACTACTCACTCGACATTGGCGGGAACATGTAAGTTTCGATCCTAGGGGGAACATCCTTTCAAAGCTGACCAATGTCGAGGTTCCTCTACAACGATGCCATGTACTTGTCCGAGAAGCTGGCTGATTTGGCATCAACGTGGAAATCACGCGAGGACCTGACCGCACGCGCCCAAAACATGCTGCGCATAGATAACGACATCAAGAGCCTGCAGAAATTTGCGACACGCGCATACACTAACGAGCTCGGGTTGCAGAAAACGGTGCTGCGAGATCTGCTAGGAGGTACGTTGTGTTCTAGCCTGGGCTGAAGCACTTTGCTGCAGACTGCCGGCAGTCATTGTGACTTTGGGCTAACGCAAGACGCACAGGCGATCAAAGTCTCATGCAGCAGGATGAACTGGACAGTTGCGTGGACTCGGCACTAGCGCGGGTCAGATCCATGGCGGTGACATGGGAATCGATTCTGGCACGTTCGGTGTGGTACCAGGCGGTGGGGTCGCTCTTGGATGGCCTGTCGTCCAAGATTATCGGCGATGTCATGGACGCGTCGTCCATCGGACAGGACGACGCGTACGGGATCGCGAAGCTGATTGCCAAGGTCACAGAGCTCGACGACCTCTTTCTGCCGTCGCGGACCACGACCACGACCACGACCACGGCGGGGTCGGCCGCGGACGAGATACCGACAACGGCGCAGTACGCAGCCACGTGGCTCCGTCTCAAGTACCTGAGCGAGGTGCTCCAGTCCAACCTCAATGAGGTCAAGTACCTCTGGTGCGACAGCGAGCTCAGCCTGTACTTTTCGGCGGACGAGGTCGTGGACCTCGTTGAGGCTAGCTTCGACGCTAATCCGCGGATGAGGGAGACCATCCGGGCGATTCGGGAGACACCAAGCCCCGTGCACGGCTAAGGGAGGGGGGACGGGAACACCGGACGGTTGAGCCGGAGGGCCCGGGCGAACGGCGCAAGAGCCGGAGCGAGATGGAATATGGGATGATGGACTCCGCTTGGGGCTACGAGTGACGGGTGATGGGGGGGGGAAGGGGCCAAAAAGAAGGCTAAAGAAAAATCTTTTCCAACGCGAAGAAGTTGGAAGAATAACAGACATTTAGCGTTTCTGGTGTATTGTCCAATTTCAAGGTGGCTATGTTGCCCTCCAAATATCAAGCGTCGTTATTCCCCCCCCCCCCCCCCCCCCAGATTCAATTTATCCATCTCAATCCAACCTAAAACGGGCTTGTACTCTCACCTCCCTTCCAATCGTTCTAAGACCACGCCCGACCACCACTGTCGATTGCACCCCCCCCCCCCCCCCCTGGCTTTAACTTTCCGTTCCTTTCTCCACACGCACGCCCCTCCCCCCTTCCCCCTTCGTGCAGGTTGCAGCTCGGCCGTCTCCACATTCTCCAACGCGCGACGCTGAACCCTATCGGTCTCGGCACCTTCCACCCCAAATCTCCACCTTACCCCAAATTTCTGGTTATTTTCTTTTTTCTTTTTTCTTTTTGGTTGTCTGCTTCTGTGGTTTGTGTGTTTCCCATCTCTCATTTTGTCTGTGGTATGACTTTTTACACTTTTGCCCGGCTCGCCCATTGCGGTGCTTTTACATTTCGTAGGTGAACCATCAGCGAGGTAATCAATCACAACTCAATGCAGTCAACGTACTCCATCGTCTCTCAACCCGAAAGTCGGGACCTTCAAACACCCCCCGGAGGTCCATCGTGATCGCCGAGCAAGCCTGGCCTTTTCGTAGCGTAGCATTCTGGCAAAACCTGGAATCCGCCCGCTCCCCCCATGCCAACGTCGCATTTCCCATCATCTCTCTTATTCTTTTCTTTTCCGTCGATCACGATCTAGTACATCAAAGGTCCATGACCCCCGCCTCCGTCACCCCTTTCCTTTCCATCAAGAAAAATGTCCGGTGGAAAAGAAAAGAACAGAAGAGAGAGAGAGAGAGAGAGAGAGAGAAAATCTCGTTCGCGATAGGAAATTGACTTTTCTCCGTGTAATCCCTGTTCGACAACCATCAAGGCCTCTACTGTACTTTGTACGGATACTTCCCGGAGCAGTTCTTCCTCTTCCCCCTTGGCCTCAAACTATCGTCAATTCACTTTTTTTTTTTTTTTTTTTTTTTTTTTTTTTTTTTTGCATTGCTCCTTCCCCCCCCTCACAAAAACGACTACTGTACTCCGTGTGGTGTACGGAAGAAGCCAAGAGAAAGCCACGGGGACGGGCTGCATACTCAAATCGGTCCATGCGTATACTTTCTTGGCTGCTCGCGCAGTTGCAGCTACGGAATAGACAAGCGTGACAAGTACAGCTGCGCAGTACATACTCCGTACTCCGTACTGATCGAGAGGGAGGGCAACACGGCGCAACCCCTCAAACAGGATTTGAGATTCTGCCTTGCTGCCGATCACCGCTGCCCGTCAACATCCCTACCCTGTCATTCTCAAATCCACGTCTGCCTTCTTCTTCTTCTTTTCTTCCATTGTCTCCCCCCCCCCCGGGGTTCGTCTGCGCCATTGCGCCACAGCCAAATCATAGCCCCCCATGGCTCTCTTCCCCCCCCCCGCATCGTCGCATTCTCCTTCGCGTCCACGTCGTAGTGTACTTCGCCACCCGCGTAAAAGGACGTGTCCCTCCTCACTCTCCGCACGTACCCAAAGGTCCCCAAACCATGCCATTCCTCCGTCTGGTCTATTTCATCCAGCCACCACTCTGACAGTGACCTGTTTGATCACGTTCCTCCTCATCTTACCCTCATCTAGCCCAAAGTATGTGCAAAGGCAGCAAAGGCAGCAAAGGCCAAGCGGAAAGGGGAATTCTGCCTATTGCCTCGTTTCTGTCTGGCATCCTACGGAGCCCCCTCCGGATGTAGCTCCGGAAGACACGGCAAAATCGGATAGCACTGGTTGACAACGATCATTGGTCAATTCCATACTCCTCCATCCTGTAGCCAAGTGTTTATTCTTGCCGGCAAAGCCGTTACTCTCGCGCAGTCGTCGGGCACCTTTACCTCTTGAACTCCCCCCTCCCCAGAATGCCCCAGACACACACACACCACGGCCCGGGAAGACCATTCTCTGTCTCTCGAATGCCCTTCCGTCCATCCTCCCGGATCCTTGGTTCAACCCATGTCCCTAGCAAGCAAATCCCCACCCCCCCCCCCCCCCCCCCCCTCCCCTCTTTGAAAATGAAGATGGAGTGCCTAGGTAAATCACCACGGCGTAATTCTCTGTACATGAGACAAGTCTCTAGTTTTGTAGGAATTTTGGCGTGCAACACCACACGCACACGCCCCTAGCAAACAACCGCAGAAAAAAAAAGAAAAAAAAAAGGGAGCAACGCAAGAAATTTCTCCAGCACGGAGATTGCACATGTTACACCATCCAAACCCAAGGCGGGAATTTCCACCACATTCCCCCTTCCCCTCTTCCTGCACCCCGGATCTTCCAGACTACATACACACATACATATCCGTACATACATGCACAGGTACACACCGTGACACCCAACCCACTTGGGTCCTCCAAAGAAAGGGAAAAGAAAAGCCGCAACGAAATCCATCGAACCATCCAACCCACCATTCGACCCCAATCAGAAGGAAAAGTCTGGAGAGAGCTTGAGCACGGGACACAACATACGCTTTGCCTGCCATCCGGCCCGGCCGCAGAGTCTCCACCACTCCATCCGGGACCCCGTTCGCGTGCCCTCCCCCCCCCCCTCCTCTTCTGCAAACCGCAAGTGAGGAAACTCTGGCAAAGAGAAAATAAGGAAAATGAAGAAAAAAACCCCCCAAAAAAGCCAAAGTTTAATGTCCCCCCATACGCACGCAAGAAGTAGAGGCACAATGTCAAGTCATGTTCAGCTCCACAGTACTCTCCTTCACCACACTTGCTCAACCTTGCGGCTGCAACTTATCTGATATCGATACTTCTTGGTAACGCTTTCCTGCTGGACCATTTCGTCTGTCTGCCTTTAACCCCCCCGCGTATACGTATTCGCAAAACAGTACCAAGTCCTCACTTTCCTGCCACGGCAAACTTGCGACGTCCTCACACACAAACATCCCCCTTTCCTCCTCCTCCTCCTCCTTCTTTACCCCTTATTCAGTTTAGACCTCCCCCAAACATCTGCCAAACTGTGCTCGTCAAACCTTTTTCGAACAAGAAACCCAAAACCACACAAGACCGCCAAGCCCATTACGGCATAAGCCTCTACCCTTTCACAAGGCAGAAAAGATCCCACGACCCTTATAAGCATTCCAGTCAGACACGCAACGGTCTTAGCACAAGGTTCATGGTTCTGCGTCCTACATGCCACCAAGCCAGGTCCAGATATACAGATAGATAGCAGCACCCGTCGGGGTAGTCATTGATATTAACATGAGCTTCTCAACTAGAGCTCTGTCTTTGCCTAAAGAAATACCAGTTTGCCTTGTTTCGCCACAATCAGAGAGGAACAACCTTCCCCGTTCCCCAATCGCCTCCACAGCAGCCTACATTCCAGTACCCCCTCGTTCATCCGCCCCCGCCCATGCCCCCAAAGCAGCCAGACAAGAAATGCCCTCCTCCGCACCGGTCCATCCATTCCAGATGACTATGCTTCATGTCAATGCTTAAAAAGGAATACCCCAAACCATGCTAACTAACCCCAGCTTGCGGGACCCGTCCTGGTCCACGATTCCTCCCCATTCGCCAGGAGGAACTCCTCCCCGTTAATCAACAAACACCTCTCACGAACCGGCCCCAGGCGATGCAAATGTATACGCAGAAAAAAGGTGAGTGGTAGTGAGTGGTTCGTGTACTGTGGGTCCTCTTTCAAAATCGTGAGAAACAAAGAAACTTTTTTTCCTATGGTCTTTTCTCGACTCTTGCTTTCATCATGTCGGATTGATCCCATTTCTATAATATTCCTGTCCCTTCCTGACATGTGGTATATGCTGTGTCCTTTCCCGGTTCAAAAAGTCGACGCGCCGCCCGGCCTTCGTGGCTCTCGGGGGGTGGTGACGGTTATGCCCTTATTCGCCGTCCCAATGAATAAATCCCACGAACAAATGAAATAATGAAAAAAAAAAAAAAAAAAAAAAAAAAAAGGTTTCCCGTTGGTGTCCCGTTGGTATCCTTAGGAAAAAAAGTCCTCGCATCCTTCAAGGAGAGCGGGCGAAGCGAAAGAAAAATAGTCGTAGACTACACCAGGAAGTTCTTCCTTCATGCCAATAGTACGCCGCAGTCGAATGCCAAAGGGGGTATTGATAGCACATTAGATCCAAAAAAAAAAATGGGCGCGCTGGGAATTCTGTCTTTTGGTTTCGGCCGTGTCGTTTCGCCCCAGGGGGTACTCGAGCCCCCCCCCCGGGCATATGTCGTTAATTCTCTGTCGATACTGATACAAAACTTGGGGAATGGAAAAAAGAAACAAATTTATGCCAAGAAACGAAGGTGGTGAGGCCTCAGCATGGTACAGAGAAGGGACGGCCCGTTGGTCTAGCCGTCCTAGGTCGCCTTTTCCATGCTGGACTTGGGGCTAATGTTGTTGGATCGAGTGCCGAACGTGTTGAAGACTCGTCCGACGCCACGGGACTTGCTGGTGCCCGTGGACTCCGGTTCCTCCGTGTTGCTGAGCAAGACGGTCTGGACGGAGTCGATGTTGATGCGGCAGAAGAGAGTAGAGAAGAGGTACTGTTCGCCGTTGTGGTCAAACAGGGGGAGGGTGCGGTAGCCACGCTTGAGGCCGTTGAGCTTGGCAGTGTGCGTCGCCACCGGCTGGCGGTCGTTGTAGCTCTCACCGTTGTGCGAGAGTTTGACCGACCAGCGAACAAAGATGAGTTCGGGGAACTTGGTCGTAACCTTGAAGGTGAACTTGCCATCGAAGATTGGGTTGAAGCCGTTGCCCTGAATCACCTTGGTGCGGAACAGCAGAGGCGTATCCGAAACCGAATGCTCGGCGTCCGTGTCCTTCTTGTCCCTCTTGTCGCTGGAGTGGAACACCTCCACCTCGACATACGGGTCGACCGTCTTGTTGTTGGGCATGCCGTTGGGGCGCATGAGCTGCTGGGCCGAGATGACGTCAATGGTGAAGGTGACCTCCTGGCGTTCCCGATGATGGCCTTCCCATCCGGGGGGCATCACCTTGATCTCGCGCAGCTCCTTCGGCTTCAGGACATAGCCGGATCTGTCGGTGCCGCTCTCGTACATGGCCTGGTTGAGTTGCATGCCGAGATCGAACGTCTGCCAGTTGAGTGCGGCCATCTGCACGCCCTTGCGCCAGTAGCCGATCGGGTTGAAGTTGTTGGACGTGATTCGGGTGCGATCGGGGTAGACGCGCATGAGGTATCGCATGTTGTGGAGCTGGATGGCTCTCTTCTCCTCCTTGGATCTGCTGTTCTTGTGGAAACTCGACTCCATAAAGGAAAAGATGTGGTTGTACGCCTTGGCCTCGACGGCGTCGAACCCACCAAACTTGAGGCCGGCACAGTACACACCCAAATCTCCCAGGACCTTGACCGTCTTGTTCGAGGACCGTCTAGGGGGCATACGCTCGCCGGCGCTGTCGTTGTCGCTCGTGCTGCTGCTCAAGGCGTCCTGGACCTCACCCTCGGTAATGGTGTTGACACGGCTCTTGCTGACAAGACGGCGGGAAGGGTGGCTCGGGCTCAGGATGGGGCTCTGAGGCAGCGACTGGGAGGGGACGATGCTGTTGTCCAGCTGAACCGGCTTGGTGTACGGGGAGCTCAGGCTGTTGCCGCGTCGGCGACCGGTCGACTCGGCTGGCTTGGTAGGCTCCGGGGGTGGCTGCGGGCGCTTGACCTTGATGAGCACTCGCTCCTTGAGCTGCTCGGGAGATGGGAACTTGTCGGAGGATGGATCCAGGGGCGCGGTGACAAGGCGAGCGCCAAAGGTCTCCTTGATGATGCGAGCCATCTCAGATTGTTGCGCGGGGTTGCAGTGAACCTCGAGGGAGATCCAGAGAGGGTACTTGGTGTTGACAAAGGCGTACTTGTTGATCGTGGTCATGGTCTCCTGGAAGCTAATCGAAGTGGTGAGCGTACGGCCGTGGTTTACCGTGGGGTTGCCATCCGGACCATCCCAACAATCGACCTCCACACAACGGCAACCGCGGACGAGCGCGGAGATGTAGCCCTCGACGCTGGAGAGACCGGCGACTTGTCGACCCATCAGGTAGGTATTGTGAGAGCTGGAGATGAGGTACTCGTTCAACGGACGGTCGAGGGTGTAGTTCTTGGGCTCCTTGTGGACGGGCAGATTGTAGGTCGAGGTCAGGTATGCTGCAAAGGCGGCGTCGCCCATGCGAGGGCTGTCGACCGCCCACTCGAGCTTGTCGGAATCTTTGGCGTGCTTACGTGCAAACCTGCTATACGCATTTTCCCAATACGAAGGTGTCTCAGGAGCCTCGACATTTTCTCCCTGGGTGTCACGCAAAAATCGCTTAAACTCCTCGAAAGTGAGGCCGGCTGCTGGGTTAGCCGCGATCTGGTTGTAAATGTGGCCAATATCATCACGCTGCTTCATCAGACCCACAAACTTCTGGAATTCAAAGAAGTTCAGGCGACCAGTGCTGGTGCCAGTCGCCTTATCGAATTTATCAAGCAAATCCTTGTGCGAGGCATGAATGTGGAGATTCCGGCAGACCCGCTGGACTCCCTCCAAGTCGATATCACCGACGTCGAGAGATAGCGTCTTTTCACCACTCTGCCTAGCCATCTCTGTGAGCCAGTAGTCGCGGATGGCCCGGTCGTTAAAGGCCATCAAAGACGCCATCAGATCCTGTCGGTGCTTGGAGATGGCCTCGAGAGTAGTCACCCAGTTGTAAAAGGTGCTGTCGTCGTCGGCGACCAGGTGCATCATCTTGGTCTTTGACGTGCCGTGCACAACGTACATAATGGAGAACCAGCGGGCTTCTTCAGATTCTGGTACGCCGTAGTCGAGACGGTACTGTCGAATGTCGGAACCGGTCCTAATCTCCTTGATGTCGTCAATGTAAAGTTCCTTGTCGCGCTTCTTATCCCAGGAGATCTTGGCGGCGTCGGGCTCCAGAACCAGGATGAAACGCTTCTTCCAGTTCTTCTTGGAGACCTTCCTAATCCAGGTGCCCTTGAGCAGCTGGAAGGGAATGACGGGTCCGGCGGTGGTGTTGGAAGGGGAGGTGGAGCCGGCCAGAGACGCGGTGGTGCTATTCGAGGACGACTCTCTCAGAGCCCCGTCAAGACCACCAATCAACGACCTGAGATCGTCCATCTCATCAATGATTTCGTCGTCAGAGTCGCTATACGCGGCAAGGTCGGGCGGGGCCGTGTTGTTGCTGTCACTCCTCCGGCGGAGCATACCGGGGCCAACACTGCCGTCACGGCTGTTGGGGGCAGCGGATGAAGTCCTGCGGCGGGTGAACCTCGCCGTGGCTCGGTTCGACAGACGCCGAATGATGTTGTTGCTTTTGCTGACGGCCTCTGACATGGCACTAGGACTGCCAACCAAGGTCTGTCCGAGTGAGTTGTCACTCGTTTTCCTTGAGATGACGGACTCGGGCAGGGAGAATGAGCCGGCCGAGAACTGGTCGTCCACAAGCTCACGCCCCCGGTGCTCAGGAGAGGCCTGGAGGGAGCTGTTGCTCGTCATGACAGCGTTCTCTGGAGACATGACGGGCGAGCCCTGCTGAGAGCTTGAGGCCGCGGAGGAGGCGCTTATCGCTGAAGCTGGTATTGTGAATTGTTGTTGCTGTTGTTGCTGTTGTTGCTGTAGGTGTTGTAGGTGAATGTTGGAGGGGAGGTTCGTATGTACATGGCTTGGACGTGTGCGTCTAAACTGAGTAGACTGAGGTGGCATGGTGGTAGTAGGTTTGGAAAGGGGCAGAGGTGTAGGCAACTGAGTAGAAGTAGAAGTAGGAGACATGGTGAGTCGTGGGGGTAGCCTTCGCTACACGCGGGTTTAGAGAGAGGTCCCCGCGGCGAGATCCTAGGTGGATGATCTGGCGTTTTTATGAAGAAGTAGTAGCTGCTTGAGACGGCATCCTTGGAGAGTGTGGTCGTGTGGAACGGCCCGTAGAGGGATAGAGAATGCGGGGGATGCGTGGGAGAAGGTCGACCCTGAGATATGAAGGTGGGCGTTCCACACACACACACACACACACACACACACACACACGGGGCTGTCTGGCAGGCAAGGGTTCGGTCCAAGAAGGAAGCAGCAGCCGTGGGGAGAAGTGATGATCTCTGCTGCAGAGTCGTGTAGGTCGCCGCGCGGTGCGATGCGATGCGGCGCACCAGAGGTCCTGACAGACCACACGGGTGGTAAGTTATGGCGCGGGTGGTTTCGTACTGGTACACTGCAGGCGGACCAGCAGTTTTCTAGTCAGGCGTAGGCCGTAGGCGTGGCAGGGCGGACGAGCAGGGTCGGACTGGGCCAATCGTGATGGCAGGTGTCCGTCGTTTCGTCTTTGGGAGTTCCGGCCTCTGGGTTTGGGGGTTGCTCGACAATGTGCGGGCCTGCGCAGTTGCTGCGATGGATCACGGCGGAAAAAAGGGCGAGTTGTGATGTGGCAGGTGTTGTATGCAAGTGACTGATTTGGGTCTATTTCCAGGTTGGGGTCGACGGGACCGACAGCATTGGCAAGCCGCTATGCAATGATCCCGCAGCGGATGGTCGTTCGTTTCTTTCTTTCTTGACACCTTTGCTTTTCCCCTTTTTGCCAGCTGGTTGGAGGTTCCGGTTGCAGTCCTAGGTCGCGCAGGCTCGTGTCCGGCAAGAAGAATCGAACGTTGAATCGGGTGGGAGGTGGTTCGGCGCAACGAGAGAAAGTCTTGGGTGTGGTGGTGATTTCTCGGGAGGGTGCGCACGGCGCAACACGCAAAGCGACAGTTGCAGATGAGTCAATGGGCAGATACCTCGGGTCGAGTGCCGGCGCGCAACTATTTGAACACAATGAGTTTTTCAGTTATTTCTTGTCTTTACGACGTTGAGTTGTTTTGGCGAGTAGTGTGTTTGTGCGTGTGGGAAGAGGTGAGGGTTGTGGTCTGTTGTTATGTAGTTGAGCAAAGCAGCAAAAAGGAGCGTTGCAGGTCAGACGTAGTTGGCAGCGGTGGTTGTGTGGTGACTGCGGTGGGTGGTGGTGGTGGTGGTGGTAGTGGGTGTAGTAAGAGCAGTGCGGGTGCTGGTGCGTATGAGACTGGGCTGGCAGACGGTCAGGACGGAAGGTGTGGTGGTGGCCAGTCAAGTCTTATGTGGGCGGGAGTGGTAGTTGGGGCCCGGGAAATTATGAGTAGACGGAGCGGGAAGGAGGCATAGCCAAGAGCTTTATTTTGGAGTAAGGGCAGAGGTCAGGGTCAGGAGAGAGAGAGAGAGAGAGAGAGAGAGAGAGAGAGGGCGAGGGTGAGGGTGAGGGTGGAAACGAAGGGAAACGAGCAAGAGTACGGGAGTACGGGGGACCAAGAGGTGTAGAGGTGTAGAGGTGTGTGTATTTGTAGCGAAGAAAGTACCAACCCAAGTATCCTTGAGGTGTATCCGTACACCGTAAGGTCTGGTAAGGTATGTGGACAGTGGTGCTGGGCAAGGTTGAGCAGGGTACCAAGGGACAGAAAGCCCAGGTGAAGGAAAGGTAGAGACACCGAGGGGAGTATGGCGTAGAGTGACTTGACAGGGCTCATTCAGAGAGCGAGCGAGCGAGAGAGTGGGAGAGTGGGAGAGTGGGAGAAAAGTGTGGGAAAGAGGCTAAGAGAGACTCAGTTAGAGAGACAGAGACAGCAAGACACACACCTCTCTGTCTCTCTGTGTCTCTGGCTCAGAGAGAGTGTGTGTGTTTGCAGGGAAGGCGTGGAGGTAAAACGGGAGCGAGCCAAGATGGGCGCCCAGATGGGCGCCCAGATGGATGGGTAGGAACAAAGTAGGGTACATGGGCATGGCCAAGTATCTCTCCATACAGCATCATATGGCACGATACAAAGGTACATTGCACATACCGGGCGGGAGGCAGAGGAGCGTGGATGGGCGCAGGAGTGTGGACGCAGGGGCGTGTTGTACCTGATGGTGTAAGGCGAAAGATGCCGGGGGGATGTAGTGTCCGTACCTAGGTATGGACAAGACAGACAGCAATGGCTCAAAGGTTTGTGGGTAATGAGGAGGACCGGACGAGGAATGCGAAAGAAGGATACACGCACACGCGGGCCAAAAGTGCAAGATACGGGTACCTTGGCAAGGCGCAGAGTCGTCAGGTACCTTCTATTTCCTCTTTACAATTCCATCCGCCTTACAGACATGCAGCGCCTTAGATACATGCCCGGACCGGTGCCGCCAGGTCACTGTATCCGTAATGGAAGCGAAAGAGACCGACAGACACTGACAGAGACAGCCAGAGAAATAATAAAAATTATAAAAAGCGGATACCAAAAGGGCAAGAGGGCAAAGGCAAAATAGAGGGAAATGGGAGGGCGACGCCGCGACGGGGCGTGAACTGGGAGACAGCGCTAAGCTGTTCGAAGCATCTCAGTGGAAGCTATCCGCAAGATACGTATCTTTTCTGATCTCAAGGAACGTATCCCAAAGGTCAGCCCCACCACGTCCATCCCGTCACTTTCATCCATTCGTCCACCTCCACTGCCAACTGGTACCTAGGTAGGTCTTTTGCAGTGTCTCTCCTTTCTTCCGTGGCATCCATCTCTCTCTGGATATGTTTGTTGTGTCTACCTTCTACGGGGCCTCCTCCGAATTGGTTTCCCTCTGTTTTCCATTCTTCTCCTGGAATTGGCCTCTCGAGAAAGCGGAGACACGAGGCTGGCCCGATGGCGAGACTGACCCGGCTGGGCTGGAATTGAGGGGCGCGGCCACGGAAGGGGGGGAAATGGGAGAGAGAAAAAAAAAAAGTCACAGTCACACAGAATGTGGTGGACCGCAAGGTAAGGTAAGGTAGCGCACAGGGCCGAGATGGAGACGCTGGGCGTCACTTTGCAATCGAGGTTTGAATGGGACATCAAAATGGGACATGAACGTCTCCTCCCCCGGTGGGGTACGTACCTGGGCTAGCTAGCGCCCTGGCCCTGGGACGACGTAAGGTATCGTCGCCCCCCTGGGACCTTGGGTACCTTACCTGGGGCAAGATGGAAGAGAAGAATCCCGACAGGGGGGTAACAGAGTGAGTGGCAGGGGAAAGGCACGAAATTGAGCAGAAGGGCTGCACCACTGCAGGGCAGAAACCTCCAGGTCGACAGCAACCACTGACCCAGCGCGCATCCGTACGCAATACGCAATACGCAATACGTACCACGCAGTATATACAAAGTACCATGTAGTGCAGCAGCGGCGGCAGAAGGGCTCATGCGCAGAAGATGAGGAACTGGGCAGAATTCAGAGAAAGGGAGCCTTCCACCGGGGATTACTACCAAGTACCTAGAGGGAGACAAGCCGAAGGACAGCAAGAAAGAGAGAAAGAGGGGGTGTCGTTAACATGACGAACAAATGTATGGACGGACCGTCGAAGGAGACTGAGAGTGAAGGCGAAAGGAGAGGAGAGGGCAAGCAGGGAGACGCCGAAAGAGACGGGGGCCACCGGTCGGTCCTCCCACCAGCCCAAGAAAACAGAAAACCCAAGAGGACAGGACAAAAAAAAAAAGAACCATCAGAAGAAGGGGCAACGGCAGGAAAAAAAAAAAAAAAAAAAAAGGGAAAAAAAGGGAAAAAAAAACCCCCCCTTCAGGAATATGGAGGACAAGACGGGGCTCACGACAACAGGGCAGGGGACATGGCATTCTCTGCAGTACGTACCCTTTTGCAATTCCCATGCTGCGTCCTGCGTAGGTATTTCCCCCTTCCCGGGCTCCGTCATGTCATGGGCAGGCCACAAGCCGCCAGCCGCAAGCCGCAAGCCGCACGATGGGCTTCTGGGGAAACTCAAGGGAGGCCTGATATAGAAGGAAAAAGAACAATTCCAATACCAGGAACCGCTGTTGCTCCGGCTCATGCTGCTCGGCTTGCTTGCTGCGACCGCGCTGCTCTCTTCCCTCCTGAGGACAAGGTAAAGGTAAGGATCAAGGTCCGTCCAGACGACGACAACCTCCAAGGTACTGCGGTACTGTACCGGCCGGGTACAACGCCATGTGCACCGCTCTCATCCAGAACAGGGGTCCTGCTGGCATGGAAAAGGAGGGAGGGTGTGCGAGATGGATGACTCCTCTCTCTCTCTCTGTCTGTGAGAGAGACAGCAACAGAAACAGAGACTTTGGAATGTCTTGTGCGTCCCCCCGAGACCACCGCCCGGGGACAAGTCAGAAGCAACTGCCAACGCCAAACCTCAACGCCAGCAGCACTCAACACACACGCCAGACTCTGTCTCGCCTGTGGCACAGTCGTCGCGGCGCATCTCGCCATATTTCCACCTCATTTGCCCCCCCTCAGGGGCTGCGTGCGTACGAAGTATTGTCTCGTCCTCTTTTTTCTTGTATTGCCTCGCCCGTTGGATCATCAATGACACCCCGTTTTGACGAAACAATCTCCTCGTCCCGTCTTTGGTAATCTTGAAATCTTCCTCCCGGGCAGCAGGATTTTGGCACACACCCACGCGCCACGGCAAGAATAACCTCGACGGTTGCCTTGTCTTGTGCTCCCGGGTTCGTAATCCAAGATGCAGCATGGCAGCATGGCAGCATTCCCGTCCTACCCGCCTTACGTTGGCCTTGTCGGATCCTGCCAGCTCTGCCCTGTCTTGTGCAACCCCGAACGTGACTGCGGCTGCTGCTGCGGTGTATATCCATGTCGAAGCCAGCATTGGCGGCGCCATACTATCGCACTTTCAACTTGACATGTACAAGGTGACGGCAGCCAAAGATGCACTCATCCGGGTCCTGCGAGACTCGAAACTTCCGTCTTCCTTGCCAACAAAAGGAATGTCTTCCGTGCGGCGTGCGGCGTACGGTGGCCTCGGCGGACGACGCGGTACACCTCGGAGCCTGGCTCGCTGTGAGATGAGCAAGGTGGGATGAATGGCCAAGTACGCAGTATCCGTGTCACCAAAAGTTTTTACTGTTGAGGCGGCAATGTACAGTACCTGCGTCGAGCGTTGGAGAAAATAGCCCAGGACAGGATTAGCCCTTTGCCATGCGCGCTCTGGGGAGATGAAAGCCCATGCTCGGGCATCTCAACAAGGCTCAAGGGACCACAGAGTTGAGCAAAGGAAGGCAAAAGGGCAAACGTACCGACAACTTGGCCCTTGGTTAGGTACATTTGCGACGTGCCACAACGTATCTGTACAGAAATAGGTACCGGTATTTTCGTATTGTCTGTATCTGTACGTAGGCAATCGAATTGCATGAGCCGCCTGGCAAGATGATGCCTTGCTCGACGGCGTCCAAGAAAAACAACGTACGCAGTACTCTGTACACGGCCGCATCAACAGGTACCGTCGGTGACGAATGAGCCTGTGAGGTCAGTCTGACATGATGATCCCATGTTTGTCGTCCGCTAAAACTAGGTGCCGAGGAACCGTAATTGGTGTCTTGTTTCCCCCAGACTCTATTACGTCGACGCCCTTTCTGCACGCGCCATGGCAAGCCGCAAGGTCGCTTTGATGCGTTGTGCTCTGTTGCTCGTTGCCGTCGTCATACAATTGCCCGTACCGCCCTATCTTGATTGTTGTTGCATCGCGCCCTGGCCTTTGGTGACGATGCGTTAATGCGATACGTGTCACCCAATTTCCCGTGCTTTCTTGCTTTCCTCGACTTGCTGGTCCGTCACCCATTCAGAACGTGTGTTTCTCGTCTGATTTTGGCATTTTCCCTCGCGTGCCGAATCTCCGCTCTTCTGCCGTCGTCCTCATCCTCGTCGATCACAGGGAACTTGGAGCTTTTGTCCCAGCGTCTCCGCCTTTTGTCATGTCCAGCTGACCTCAACCTTTCTCTAGCTGTTACAAAGTCAAAATGTACACAACTTTGCCCTTTGATTCGACCATCAAGGGATTTGCTCATTTCGATACAGGATCGGCGGTTGATTGTTGCTCATCAACAGTCCAAGAACCTGGTAGACCCGGTTGCATTCCAACGTTAATGTCGCCGAATGCTCAATGTTGATCTTGGTTGTTTCTGCTCGCAGCCTGGTCTCTTCAGACGCAGCGAGTGGTCATCGTTGGCTTCCTGCGAGCAATACCTACGCACATTCCGCGCCAGAAATATTCAGCTGGTCTGCACCACCCGCACTCGGACGGCGTGGTCAGCCGGTTGTCGCATGCGGCTGTGGGGGGGGCGTGAGTGACATACCCAAGGCAGACTGAGGACCTGGAGCTGTCGTTATCGAGTGGCCGACGTCGAGGTACAAGCTCGCTGCAAGCCAGTCTGTCCTTCACAGTCATGATAACGCTGCTCTTCTCATGACTGGCCCTCGTCTCCATCCTTGAACCATTCCATCGCGATCCTGAGATGCCGTCTGCGACACGCAACGCTGAGCACCGTTGAGCAAGGATTCTCCTCACAAAGCGCCGCAACCAGTCGAGGTGACCTGCTCCCACGTTTACGTTCAGCGGTGACCCACGCCCCCGTCTCTCGGTGTACCGGGACTCATCTTCTCATTACCTCAGCACACAATTGCTCTTCCCCACCACATTGTTCCTGTCCGGATCAAACGTCTGGGTGTAACGCTTCCAAGGTGAGCACTTGAAAGCAGAGCGGTGATCGGTAGCTGCCTACAATGGTCATCCAGCAGGGTACACCCTTCGGCGCTCGCTCCGGCGATACTAAAGTTGTCTTCCCCGTGGTGCTTTGGTACCCCTCAACCCCATAGTCTGGAAGCGCCGGGACTAACGTCGCGGAAACGACGGAAGAGACTCCTGTAGACTAGTTTCCTTGTTTGCATTGGTAGGGAGGATTTCTCGTCTCAGTGAGTTTGTGGCGGGCAATTGCAAGAAGGCTCGACGTTCGCCTCTACAGCTCTGTAGATATGCAGCCAACGGAGGACACCCGGGACCTTGAGACGACCAAGCAGAACTCTAATTGTCCACTTGTGTTGCATCCTGTGGCAGTAGCGTGTGGCTGGTCATCGCAATCCGTGGCACACGGCCAGAGACGCACCATCAAGAACTGAGGAAAGGGCCCTGATCATCTGCGAGTCCGAGTGGCTATCGAGCCGTTTGATTGGTGTCCCCCTTGCCGTCAAACCAAGCTCGTCCTTGACTCCCTCGACCAAAGATAGCAACGAGTCCTTGAGGACGGAGACCCTGACTTGCCCTGTTGCGAGACGGTGAGACCTGATCAACAGAGCCGCTCCAGGGGTGCCATTGTGTGTGTGTGTGTGTGTGTGTGTGTGTGTGTGTGTGTGTGTGTGTGTGTGTGTGTGTGTGTGGTTGTTTGGATGTGGCTTCCGGGGCCGGAACAGCCACGCAGTCTTTGGCGACAGGCGCCGCCTCCATGGGATTCCACCGATCAACATGGGATTATGGACATTACGGGGATTTCGACAGTAGATCGCTGTCCACTGGCGCTGGTGGGTAACGGTCGCAGGGTTGGGCGGTTTTGCTTCATCCCCCCCCATCAGCCTCCATTCCTTTTGTGAGTCACGAGCGTTGCTGTTTATTTTTCTGTTTTGGGGGGTTGAAAGACAAGAGGGTTTCTTGATGCGTCGACGGCCTCTTGTTCTCAACCGACCCCATGGTTGCTGATGCTGCGCGAACAGGGGGTACACTTAGGTGCAGCTGCTCAATCCGCCCTGTTGGGACTGCTGTCAGTGTCGGGCACTCTCTCCATCCTGGCTCCATATATGAGTGATCCGTCGCTATGGTTAGCAGTCGCCCGGCCGCCGTGTGATCTGGGTGTGCTGCGTCGTCCGGCGCAATGCGTACGGGAACTTGTCAGCAAACTGACAGAGCAGCCAAAACAGCCCCTGGGGTCCAAATCCAGACGTGAATATGCTCAGCAGCATGCATACGGAAAGGACCCCAAATATCCCAGGCTTTGCTGCGTCCTACATCGCCATCCTAACCCTCATCCCTGGCGAATATTCATCATGAGTGACGTGGCATTCACAAGGTAGATTCAACGGCTGGCTCGCTGACATGAAGTCAGAGTCGCCCTTATCACGCAATCAGGTAGTCGGTCCTCTTCTTCTTGTCGTCAATGGTCCGCTGAAAGCGACGGGTGACTGAGTTTGACGACGATTCACTGCCGCATCAAGGCTGCGCAATTCCTTCGTCACAATCACTCGTTCTCGGTCAGACGCAGCCGGAACCGGGAGGGGAGACGTGCGGCTACGTACAGTACGTCGTCGTTGATATTGCGATTTGCTAGAATGTCATGCAGCAGAAGAGCCGAAATGCAAGCTTGGTAGGGAACCGTGGTTGCGCAGGAATGCGAGTTGTGGGGTAGGTAGCATCGCACAGAGAACTCCGGCAAGGGAGTGGGACTGAGGAGTTCGTTCTGACTCTGCTCTCTCGTTCTACTCATCCCCTCAAACGTTGGTTAATGAGGAAGAAACGGCCGCAACCAGGGCGCCAGGTTCAGAGCTTTCTCTGTCAAGAATTCTGAGAGCCTCGTGTGTAGTGCTGCCGCCATCCATGATCTTTGGTGTGAAAGCCACTCTTGAGGAGGTTTCGAACGACTAGAGCAGGGCGAGCCACACACTCTCTTCCAAGAATGGGCGACGGACCGCCACCATCAAGGAAGATCAGAACGCGCTGCTTGACAGTCCGGCTGGCCGCGGAGGCGGCGCCGAAGCCATTGGGGCCAAATGAAAGAAATTAAAAGTTGGCGACCTTGGTATCCGCAGAAATCGTCATCCTGCGTTTGCGTGTCCGGCCTGCGGGCATTGTCTTGGTTGCCTCAGCACAACCTTGGCTGGATAACATTATCGGCTCTCTCTGGCGTCTGTATTGAAGGCCGTCGCGGCTGTTCGGATCTCAAGCGAGAGCTGGGCAAGCAGTTGGTGATTGTGCTAATTCTGAGGAGCTCTGGGCGTGCCTCTGATGGCATTCTTCGAATCAAATCTTGGCCAGCGTAGCAAAGGGAGGGGCGTGTGGCTATCCGAGCCAGTGCTCCTGTTTCAACGGGCAAGATGTGGTCGAAGGACCATCGCGAATGGTGCAAGTACCCGTCCAGTACAGTACTTCGGCCTGCCTCAAACATCGAAGCCCGCTTTGCCCAGCGAAACCATTCCGCATCAGACTGGCGTGAATGGCCAAACTGAGGTCGAGCAGGAGGGAAACCAGTCGCGGTGGAGATGAGAACTTGACAGGTCCCGTCAGATGGCTGACAGTATGCCGTCTTGTCTTTGCCCGTCACTCTGGGCTTTTCTTAATCTGCATCGTGTTACTGATGCGAGGGGTGTTTAGTGGCTGCTCGACCCCTCCACCAACTCCGCAATCCTGCCCTTGCGAGTAGCCTGTAGGTAGCACGCCGAGATGAGACTTGGGGGACGTCCTCTCGTGGGCACCACCACCAATAACGCAACGGAGCTGCTGCAGCATCGCATCTGGGGACGACCATATGCAGCCTTGCCCGCGGCCCCCTGCCCACCACGCAACTCCGCATCATCGGCGCCGGAGGGGCGTCACCTGAGCAGAGGGGATTGGTCAACTGGCGCTCGATGACTCCTGCGAGGGCGGGTACACACATCTCGCAGCAAATCTGCTGTTTCTGATGCGCTGCTGGATTCTGTTGCGTTGCTGGCGTGTCTGAGGCGCGTCCTGGTTACCCTGCCCTGATGCGATGCGACGATCAAGACACGTTGGCTGTGCTGCGAAAGAACGATAGCCAACGAGCTGGGGAGCTGACCGGCCGCTCAACCTGGTCTGTCCTGCAGATGACTGTCTTGCGGCGACGGCGCTGCCGTCGTCCTTCACTGCCTCGTGTCTTGAGCCTTGGCTGCGCTCACCACGCTTCTATCTTAAGCATAACGCAGAGAGAAGCCGTCCAGCAGCCGATCAAAGGTGTTGAGTCGGAAGCTACGGCGCTAGCACCGCGTCCGTCGGGCTCCTATGCGGCGGGCAAATCTTGCTAGCCCGGGGGGCCGACCTGCTGCGGGGTTCGAAGAAACCGCGGGCTACCAGGGGCGTGGTCGAGGAATGCCGAGTTTCTCCCAACTTGCGTTTTGGCTGGATGGACGCTGAGAAGTGCATCACACCGACATTTGCTTTCGCGAACGAGGCTGGTCATGTGGTGTTTTCTGACAACGTGCCTTAGTAGCCATTTGCCCGTACAGCACAATGGTATGCAGTAATCAGTCGCTTGGCGATGAGAACGCGGCCCGACGGTCTTGACTCCAATGGACGAGCCAGCAAGCGCTGTCATGCCCCGAATTCCAAGCCGTCGACAAGTCGGCAGATGCATTGCTGCGCGATGCAGCCAGCGCCAGCGTCATGTATGTCATTGGCACTTTTTTTTTTTAGCCCGGCCTGTCGCGCCTTTCTGCGTGTGCCAAACCTGCGATGGGGGGATGGATGAGATGAACGCGGGTTAGACCGGGTTTCAATGGCTTTGAAGCATGCAATTGTGACTGCTATATCCTGCTGAGCCGGTAACAGTCTTTTCCGATCAACCGCCCAGCCGCCAGGTAACGAAACCCACCCGGCCGAGGAGTGATAGCCGCCGGATGGTTCCCTTAATTGCGAGTGATATTGCGAACGACAATAGCTGAGCCCACGCAACTTTCCCTGTCTGTGTTGCATTTGCGCAGGCCTGTCGACTCGTTGCTCTACTTGTTCCCCATTGCTTCTCCATTGCTCGTGTTTGATGAGCAGACTGACGTTGCGTCCAACATATCAGTCGGCCACGGTTCAGAGACACGTTGAAGTCAATCGGCCGAGACGACCCCTGACGGGGCCACCCACCTGCCTGGGCCTCTAACGTCCCTGAGCGCGAATAATGAGTCGTCTCGCACAACGGACAGGGTGTCGGAGTCATTCAATTTTGAGCCTCGTCCTCTCCCGTTATTAGGGGTCCTTGTCGAGTGCGATTTTGTGGACTTTGAGCGGAACTGGAACACGGTGGTGGTGTCTCGTGGACGATGGTCCCCCCTCCCCTTTCTCGGAGTTTGACTCCGTAACCAAGGGTACGGATACGGGTTGAGGGCGGCAGACCGGTAGACTGCTCCCGTCCCTGGTTTTCTCTTGTTTGGCGCCGAGACAGAGGGTCGGCTCAGTCAGGTACGCGTGGTTGAAACATGGGAATGATAGGTACGGTGAGAAAAGGAGGGTCAATACGGCAGAGATCCGGGAGGGCGTGATGCGCCGATCTTGTCTGTGAAAATCGATTTTGTTGAAGAAGAGTTACACCGTTGCGAGATTCAAGGTGTGCGGTCAGATGGAGGGTCGAAGCTGGTTGGTCGATTCTCTGGTCATGCTCTTTTAGCCCCTGCACTGGGTGCTTCTCACCGCCGCCACGTTGGGAACAGAGCCTCTCAAAGGTGGGTACGAAGTAGGAACTTTGCAACTTTTGTTCGGAGGACAGCGGTGACCACACCGTTGGTACAAGAGCGTGTGATATGATGGAGCGCCTCCGGCAACGATGCCTTGGTCGACGACAGGACAGGAGCAAGCGATCGACGAGTGGTGGAGGTGACTGGGCGAGTGAAAGGCCGTAGACAAGCGGCCAGCAAGTCACAGTCACACCACAGGGGCGGAAATAGTGTCAAGGCCCGGGGAAAAGCAGTCATCGTTGGGCTCCCATTGGGTGCGGCCCCCTGGAGTGACGTAGTTTTCTCGAAGCCGGTTCGAAGGTTGAAGACGCGTCGAAGGGGCACACAAGAACCCCAATCCCGGGCAGTGACAAGCTGAAGTGGACAAGGGGGAACAAAGAAGAGGCACAAAGTGCAAAAGGGATCCGCAATCTGGGCCAGTGGTTTCTGGGTATCCGGTGCTGAGGAGAATCCCGGGCCTCCGAGCGGGCAGCAAGCAAGCAGCCCTGCGCTGCACCGAACCGCAGCCGAAGGGGCCCCATCCCCACGTCGGGCTGGTGGTCGAGGGTCCCTTGTCGATGGATGGTGTTTCGTTCTTGGGGTGCCGTCATCACGGTTGGGACTTGGGAGAGGTTGCAATCTTGGAGAGGGAGAATGGTGGGTCTCGTGTGATTAGGTAAGGCAACAGATATCATCCTACCTAAGCCCAGCATGTGTACGGAGTATGGGAAGGAAGCAGGAAGAACGGAGTACGTACTGCGACTAGTGTAGCGACGGCAGGAAGAACGAATTTAGCAACCGCTAACTTCTGAGAACCCCTCCTTCCCGCCTCTAAGCTCCAGAATCCAAGGACCAAGGACCCTATGTACTCCGTACTTTTATTACTTTTGTGTGTCGGACTTCATCACGCCTTGGTTGGGAGATGCCTTCAGAGGAAGCAACAATCTATGTGTTGTTTCCCGCGTGCGGCGTGGATGGAGATGGGAATGAGACGGCAGTCCCTTTCCCACCCACTCGGCGCGGTACGATGCGAGCGGTGTGGTGTCTTCCTTCAATTGGTCTGTGTGAACTGTTGCCGCCAAAGCAGCAACCTCCATTGCGATTTTGAGATTGAGAATCGCGCCTTGCAAGTGTAGCACTGTAGTGTACGAAGTTGTGTAGACGAGAGACGGCGCCGCCGAAGTTGCCCATCTCGACAGCAGGGGTAAGCCATTGGGCTATCGACATGGGAGCATGGGGGCACGCAAGAGAAGGAGAAACCGAACGTCTTTGCTCGCGTCGCAACAATCATTTTGGGGCCTTGGGCTCTGTCTCTGGGGGGCCATTGCTCCCGTCCCCTACTAAAAAATTTTTCCAAAATGGGGTCACGAGGGCCTTTCCCAAACACAACCTCGTCCCCCCCGGTCGCCTCACCCAAAGCTGGCAGTGTCACACTTTTTGACTACTTGCTCTTTTACTCTCTTTTCACGACAAATCGGATGCCGACAAGGCAGCAAATCTCCCGTCCTCCCTATCCCTCGTGAGGTATCCTATTCTCCCGATCCCTCCGTCTGCCATCTCGCCCTTGGCCAAAACGCGCACACACAGTCGTACAGTTAGTTCACTGGCAGTCTCGCACACCCATTCTTCTCCCTCGTCCCAATCGCCAGGGTAGGGGACGAGGGGGTGGCATATCGTATCTCTGAATCGAGGCCATGAACCCCCCTGCTCTCGTCCAAATAGCCATTCCGCCCGTCTAGTTGGATACCACTCTGCCACACGCGCTTACTTGTCTTGCGTCCTCGTTTCTTCGGCGCTGTCGGGAGGGCTGCTCACATGGGCTCAAATGCACCTTGCACGTCGGGCCCAGGCAAAGGGAGAGGAATGGGAAGGTATCATGAGGGACTGCGGTCTGCGGATGGTCATCCATTTGTCAACCCTGGTCTTTGACCTCAGAACTCATCACTCGCCCCCAATCCAATCCAATCCACGCCGTCCCGCGCCACGCCATGCCATGCCATGCTATGCGATGTTGCTTCGCAGCTTCAGTCTTTTCCTTTTTGAGCAGAAGCGAGTCCGACGAGATTGCCCACGCGCCAGCGGAAGAGGCCCAGCCCGAGGGTGTCTTTCACCACCCTTTTCGGCGTGTTAGTCGGGGCGATGATGCCCGAGAAAATGGCGCGGTCCTCACTTCCCGTCGCCCTTTGGACCGCTCCAGATCACAACTGTTGGCATTTTGGGGGCGACAGCCGCTGCAAATGCGATTGAAATCATGCTCTTGAGCCGAACAGTTGTTGAATCCTCACGGCCGGAATGGTCAGACGACGTCGCCATCGCCAAGTTGGTCCTTCTTCCCTTTGCTGGAAGCACACGCCTCCCCCATGTGACATATGGGCCATCTTGGACAACCCATGGACCGGAGAGTCAGGCTCTTGACAGCTGAGGTGCGCGCCATCTTCATCTCCTCTGTCGCAGCTTGGGCAGTCTGGGGTCTCACATTGCGAGTATCCCCTTTGCGGCTCGGCGCTTGCCCCATGCCACTGGGGCAGCCCTAAGCGGAGCAAGTGTTCTACTTTGACTTCGCCAGTACGGAGTAGTGTTTTCTATCTTTTCATTTTTGGGCTGCTTTGGGGATATTTCTTGTGCTACGGAGCATCTCAGACGTGACCCCGTCGCACCGCCAGCCGCCAGCCGCCAGCCGCCAGCCGCCATGTCTGGTGTGGGGGATGGACCATGGACAACACACGTGCTAATCCCCTGGGCTTTTGAGTCTTGACACGGCGCTACTGACAAGCCCCAAGGAGATACACATGTCCTCGGAAGTTGCCAGGCTGTGCCACTCGAAACCTACCAACCGCAGTTGTGGAAATGCTGGAGCCTGGAGAGATGGAGTTGCGCCAGAGCCCGCGGATACGGATACAGTCTCATCGGTTGCCAACCAACAAAGCAACCCCGGCCCCCTCGGCCCCCTCGGCCCTCGTCTACGGAGTACGGGAGTATTCGTACTTTGTACCGTAGTCTGTACGGAGTACAGCAATCTCCATCCATGAATGGGCTTGTGGGCTTGTGGTCCACATAGAGACAGCTCACCCTTTCTTTTGCTACACAGACACACAGAGTACACAGTATCGTCCATGGCACGATTGATGGCAACGAGCCCGTTTCATCCGCCCGTTGCCAAGCATGACGGCAGGATAAACCCGCAAGCAAAGCAGACTAGCTGTGAGGCAAAAGAAAACAATTCCGGTTAATGGCCGCAAACCCGGCGGGGAGCTGGCTTGTTGGAAAGAGTCGAGCACCAACCAACAAAACGAACAACTCCGAGTTCCTTGTTTCTTCTGCCCTATTTTACAGTCCCGTCATTGTCTCGGGCTGTCGACCCGCGTTTACTCCAGTTTGCCGTGGGTTGACCTCATACCGTTCGACGATCGCTCCGTGGTCGCCTTGACCTCGGCCACGCTGTCATCTTGCTGGCTACATTGGGGGACGTCTCCGTTCCTCATGATGCCGACTTGCCGTACCAAGCCTTGTGGAAGGTAATTTGGAGGCATGGTCGCGCGGGTGCAGCCCGTAGCCCGCTTGCCCGCCACTTACAGTCTTGAACTTGGACATGCCAGGAGTTGTGAGGGACTGCACGGCTCACACACCGTCATCAGCGTCGGTACGAAATTCCATTGTCTGGTTTTGTTCGGCGCTGTGCCCTACTGTGTACGGAGGACGGATACCCTAGACAGACAAGTATGTATAGTGCTTCTTTGATCAGGACGACCGTTGCGTTTCCTCCCCCCCGGCCCGTCTCGTATCATCAGCCGCAGCCGCCCAGCACCACAACCGCACCCGCGCATACCTTAATTTTACAGTACCTGTCTATGAGAAACCCGACAAATCAGACCCAGCCGACACAGGGCACAATAGCAGCATGTCTCGTCCTCAGCGTGCGACTGCGCTGGATATCGGCATCCCTTTACATATCGTAGCCCGGCCGGTTAAGGTACCTAGAGGCACTTTTGGCATGCGCCGTTGCGAAAGCCAAGCTTTCCAGTCCTGCCTGCTAGCCCTTGGCACGTTTTGCGCGGGCGGGAGTGAAAGCGGTGTCTATGTTCGCTCTGCTGCCGACTCTCAGACCTCGTGTGTTCTCCACGCAGGATATCACTCTCTCGAGGGAACCAACAAGGGCTCTGGTCGGCTAGCTTTGGAGACTGCTGATCGTAACCGGCGAGGGAGGCTACCCGACGTCGACGATGGTGACACGAGTCCAGTCGTCTCGTCCAGTGCAATCTCAATTTTCTGTCAGCTGACCCTAGACAATCTGATATGTTTTTATTTTGCTGCGAATCAATTTTTTCAGTCCTGGGCGTTTCATGCGCGGGCCGAATCCACCCCATCTGAGAGGCTCGAAAGATGAGATTGAAGCCAAGAGACTAGGACGGAGGAAATCAAGCGGCCGAGAGACAGAAAACAGAGACACTGGTTGACTGCATCGCATGATGGACGGCGGATCCGAGTGGTTCCCGAACGCCTTTGATTCGGTTGCCTTACGGGACCAGCAGCAAGGCAATGCCTGTTCGTAACAGCAAACAAAAGAACAAGACGTGTCGGACCCCACGAATCTGTCGTGGATTTGCATGTCTCGCCCCGAGGGTCGTCTTGTGCGGCTTGCTTTGAACGATCGGCGCGCATTGAGCATGATGACCAACAGTCTTTTCATCTCGCGGGTGGGTTTAACAGGCTCCCTCCGAGTGCGGATGTCTCGATTCTTTCCTCCCTCGAGTCCCCCTCTACTCCGTACGGAGCCACCAGTTGCGGATGGTTTGATGGTTGGCCTGGCAAGCCTTGTCATTCAACCTTATCCGTCGGTTTCGGTGTGTGTTGAGGCGGACTCACGAAAGGGCTCCAGCCTCCATCTCAGCGTTTCCACCTAACCTTGTTGCCAAGCCGGGCTTCTCGTCTCATTGCTCGCTGTGGCTCTTTGATAGTGCTGTTTCTTTTCGTATCCGGCCGTTTCCGTGTAGTCTACCTTATAATTGCCAAAGGCTAAGTCTCGTATGCGGCTTACTGATCAGCTTTCTCGCAAAAGTCTTCTCTCATCTTATCTAGAGGGGTTGGTTCCAGGGTTCAGCTGTCCAAAGAGAGAAAACTGCCCCCCCCTCCCCCCCCCCATGTTTGTGACTCGCCATTTAGGTTAGTCACAACGGGTTGGCTTGAGGTTTTCCCTCTTGTGCCTCTTGGGCGCATATCCTGACCCTCAACGTTGAACGTTGTTCCAGGGGCCCTGCCAGACCGATGATTCGGAATGTTTGCTCACATCATTGTTGGCAGTTGCCCGGTTCCTGGCTGTTCTCTCCCGGCGCGGTTCCCAACGCTCCCTTGCCTCATGGGGAAAGAGGCCGTTCCGATCAGGCACGGCCAAGGGACAGCAAGCACGGTGTCCCGGAGGCCGGTGCCTACCTTCCCAGTGCCAGTCCATATGTGCATTGTGCGCACCTTGAGAGTCTGGCAGTGACAGATAATGGAAGGTCCAGTGTCCCGGTGTTCCTTCCTTGCAAGTTGCTGGGTATCCATCGCATGGATCCGATGCTTTCTCCCGACTGAGCCTCACTAAAAAGCAACGACATGAACTTGAACATGCCCTGCCCTGCCCCATGCGGGCTGGAAGAAACAAGCCAGTGCCAATGACTTCACCCATGACGGCAAAGCAACGCGACATCACCATCACTGGCCAATACATCCTAGGTTGCTTTGGATCTTGGATCCCGTCACCGTGTCGCCGTACGGCCGGGACCTTGGTCTCTTCCGGAAACACACTGGAAATAGCCTCTTCTTTCAACTTGCAACGTTCCTCCAACCCACCCTGACGCTACATGCAGTTCAACCATGCTGTGGCTCCCTCGCTGGTCTTCCGTTGGCCCCCAAAAAAGTGATGCCGCGGGGGGTTTTTTTTTTTTCTTACTCGAAACTTGGTCGTCGTCTGCCTCGCCTGCGCGCTCCCAACAGTGTCAGACGCAGTGATTCAGATGGCTGCCGGCATAACGTCCCACCAACATGCGTCAGGCAACCTCCATCAACATTTGGCCAACGCATCCATGCTACAAATCCCATCCATCCTGATTTCCCGCTGCTCGCACACACATACACGACCTACGCATATCCACGCCCTCGAGTCACTGAAATGGGCGCGGGGGACGACCTTGCCCATGCATCACTGCACCCATCTTGAGAGGGGCTGGTTGGAGAAAGACCCAGTCGGCCTATCGGGATGCCACCGTAACCTTGGGCGACACTCACACACACACACACACACACACACACGCCTTGGGTCTCACGCGCAACCCTCAGCTTCCCCTGGTCGCCAGGCGGGGGGAGTCATCTCGAGAATTCTGCCCACCCCAGCAGGCTATCCGTACTCTCTCTCTCTGTCTCTTTTTTCCTCTAGGCGACGAGGCGAGCGACGAGCCCACAGCGATTGCTACGACTTCAAACACATTGTTCAGCGAATGTGGTGCTTTTGGCCCTCGCTGATGAGATCGGCCATGCTCCTTAATCTGACCGACGTTGTACGGATGCAAGCTCGCGCGCACATCACTTGCGGGAAGGCCCGTTGTCTGCTTACTCCGGACTGCGAAGGGCGGGACATGGCCTGCCACGAGCAGTGACAGTCTGACAGTACTCCGTACACAGTAGGAACTCTTGTCACATCACAATGAAGCCATCGGATGCCTCCCCTCGAGCCAGCCAGCCTTGTAATGGCATCAGCTTTGGTCGCACATCGAATGTGACTGACATTGCGATGCACGTCTTGTCTGCAGCTCCCGCCGTACCGTCTCCTTGGTGTCTTTGGGAAATTTGCCCGCGCCTCGATTCGTTCACCACTCAGATGCGACGCCGTCACCTTGTCAGACACACCCGCCTGCAGGCTCGTCGCATGTCTCTGATCGCTGACCTGTCACTGGAAGCCCCCTTGGCCGAACAAACAACACCAAGGCCAAGGGGTTGCCGCCATATCCTCGACGACATTGCAATTTCTCCATGCTCGATTTGCAAGCCTCGGCCACCAAAGCAAGAGTAAGACGCGACACTTGTGCGCGAGAACCAAACAAACACTCAGGTCCTTCACATTGTCCAGCTACCGAAAAAATATCAAACGAACCCGTCCCTGTCAGATCATTCCGGCTTGAGCCTCCGGCGAGGGATGATCCCTTCAGACACTTTCGACTTCTCAACCACACGGTGGTGTATGCGCAAGGTCATTGGCAGTGGGGCATTTCTCTTTGCATTTGGCTTTCTCCATCTTCCTCTTCTTCTCTCGCTCTAGGATACCGTCGCCCACAAGGTCGTCGATGCGACCACAACGAGGAGATTCCTGTGGGGGTTCACGATTGACTGTAATCTTTGCGCCTGCAAGCCAACATTGCGAAATGCAGCTAGACCTAATTGTCACGCAAGTCATGCCTCTGATAACGAGAGCTTGTGGGGGGACAAGACGATACTGCGGATGGTATCGGACACCACGTTCATCGCGCTCGACGGAGAACGCGGGTAGCGTTATTTCAGAGAAAGAGGATCGTCTGGGGGGGAGCACCCCAGCTGCATGATCCTGCAGGGACGACAGCGGACAGCGGGCATCTTGGAAGTTCGTCGTGGGATCTTCACTCGTGAGGTCGAGTCACCCACTGCAGGACAACACGCCAAAGCATCTGATTGAGCGCCATTCTCTCGTAGGACCACCGTGGATCCCGATGCAGCACTGCTTGGTTCACCATTCGCGCGGGTCGCTACAAGCCTCCGAAGTCACTGCAGCGGATGGCCAGCATCGGCCGCCCTCAGATGACACCAATCTCGGCGGCTGGCGTTCTTTGACTAGAAAATGCATGCGTCTCGGCGATATTCTGTTCCTTCGATTCAACCCATCTTTGAGGAGTACGATGGGCGCATGGTCGCATGGGTCGTTGGATGGAGGAAGGATGGACGACGTTTCATACAAGTACGCGCCAAAATGTCTTGACTGGACGACTTGCCCGATTAGGACTCGAGATGAGGCACCAGCCTGTCAGAACGCTCGCAACACCAACCCCCTGTGTTGCTCCGGAGTTCGTCTCGGACTGCTCGGGCGTTCTACTTCGTACTGACACTCACAGCATGGCAGCAGCCAATGTCACTCTTCGGTTTGGGGCAAGCCACCAGCGTGCCAAATTTTCCCCCTTTTCTTGCACCACATCTGCCACCTCGGCGCAAATTTGCCCCTGTCCTTCGAGTTTGCTTCTTTGATTTTCCATGGGCGAACTCTATTCGATCAACTCGCATGGACCTCGCTGCACATCATTTTGCGTCTGGGCATGGGTGGCACGGCGCAAGTTCTCACCCTCAATAAGGGGTCATCAAGATTGTGGGGATTGAGCACATTGTGATCACTCACTGGAAACAGCTGCCTGTCTTTGATCTTCTGTCCGTACGGATGTCTCTCAACGGCTCCATCCGGCATTGGGAAAACAGGATGGCCATGGAGTCGTTTCAACTTTTCAGCACTTTCCATGATCATCGTAGTTTGGCAACGGCTCGTGACTGACACGGCGGTCAGAACTGGCACAGACACACGCGCCTTGTGCTCAAAGTTCGGTCGATCCTTTGGGCTGTGCCTGACTTTCCCCAGATTTTTATTGCGCCGAGCAAGCAAACCCCTCGCTCACTGCGCATCGTGCCGATATTGTTGTCTCATTGTTTGCGTTCTATTCTAGTCGGATGGGTACAATGTGCGGATACCTGTGAAGGAATCAAGGGGCGTGTAACCCGGTGTTCCGGCTTCTGGGCCAGATGCCAAACCCGTTCGCATAGAGGTAGGGCATGGTTCATCGCTTGAAAGCCAAAAGCCCAATATGTTCCTCTCGGCGCGCGTTGGAATTACAGCCAAAGCGCGTCCGCGGATGCGCCCCGGGAATCCTTTGTGAGAGAACAGATGGCACCCGCTCGCGAACCACCAGCTTGCGTCTCACCTCACCCTGTCTTTGTGCCGTTCGATATTGCGACCCGGGCAGCCGGGCTGGCGGGAAATTTCAGACATTGACCCCTGAACTTGCGCATCACGGCACTACCGAGTCCCGACAAACAGCGACGAAACCTCCGTGAAGGCATTTGGCATCACTCTGACGATCCACGGCGACTGTTTTCTCCAGCCTCCAGGAATAGATGCTGGTCAGTGGCGCCTACGGATGCGCGTCTCACGTAGAGTGCAGTTGGTGGCCCCTTAGCGATCGCAATGACACGATGCAAACGCAGGGCCAAAATGGAGCTTAAGCAACATTGATTATGGCCAAGGGTATCTGAAGCCAGGTTCTGGCATATGCTTGACATTGTCACGATATTAACAACCGGGGCTACGCTGGCATAGCTTCAAGCAAACCGTTGTCAGCTATAAAACAGTAGCGCTATACCGTGGACTGACTCAATAAACAACAAGGCGATGCCGCGTCGCGCCGTGTCCGCGCATCCGTCCCCATTAGGGACAGTAGGTGGTTGTTTGGACTACGACCACTGTTCTTGTTGAAAAGCCGTGTCGCCGCGGCGTGGGTTGGCTAGCATGAAGCTGGGCCCGGGGAACTCTGGAAAGCTGGGAAGCGGCTTGTTCGGAACGAGGGCTGTTCACCGCGTGCCTGGCATTTGACAAGAGTGTCAACAGCGAAGTTCCTTGAGAGCAAATGGGCGCAGGTCCTTCTTACTCGTCCTCAGCCTCGCTCGCACCGCCGGATGGTGGCAGAATCACGCGTGGCTCCAGTAGAGATGCAGGAGTATCCCAGTCACGACTCACGATAGGGGCCGCGTTGCTCGGCATTGCAGCAAGTTGCTCGTGCGCCTACCTACTGCTAAAGCGGCGGAAGCAGCACGAACGTGGAAGATGGGGAAAAGAATGCCCGCGCAGTCGAAACGGCGAGCCAGGTCCCCTGAACCCGAGCGATAGATCATACGTATACTCGTACAGAGTACCTTGCTGATGGTCGTCTCGGGTTCCTGAGCCCGCTCGTTCAACTCCTTGCGACTATCAAACGACGAGCACGCCATCCAAAGGTTCAGTCCTTCTTCTAGAAGGCTTCCATCCAACGTCTCAATGCCTCCCATGCTACCTGGGGGACTCGGTGAACCTCAGCTCCGGGCCCGAACCCCGGTCGGCTGGTGCAGATCACTCCGCAGACGGTCCTTTACCTCGGGGCTGCCGTTGTTACTTTTGTCGTCTTGTTGGTCTCCGTTGACGAATTTCTGAAGCTTTCTTTTTTCTACTATTGATTGTGGGAACTCAAGGTGAGTGGCCCCAAATCCTCCACTCCACAAGACGCTCCCCCACCTCTTCAGCGAAATTCCCGTCTCCATTTTCTCCAAATTCTCAGTCTCCATCCGTCTGGAAAGGGTAGGCGGGCAATGTTTGAGGAGTGTGGAGTGGCTGGCGTGCGGCTAGGGAATTATTTGGGGCGGCCGAGGATCCCGTCCACCGCGTCTCACGGCGCAACGCCGTTATCTGCTATGAAGAATCGGGCGGCATCGTGGTGGACACTCTCTTCGAGGCCAAGTTCCCAGGGCGGCTAGCGTTGGGCGCTACTCGTGTTCTCGTCGTATTTTTTTATTTTATTTTTTTCTTTCCAACCTTGCCCCCAAGCAGACAGCAAACATGGCAATCCAGGGCGCACACATGAATTCGCCCGATAGCTCCATACGAGGGCTTGAGTGCGCGGCGTGCCGCTGTCTTCGTCCGCCACCCCACAAAGTCAGATGTGTGTTTGTGTACGGAAGTACTCTAAGGTCTTCCTTGGAGATGCCACCTTACTTTGCCCTACGCTACTACGTTGATGAGGAGAGCATGAACAGGCCCCCCCCCCCCCTCCCAACTATGCATCCGGGATGGCACGGGGCAGCCTTTGCTGACAGAGGACTGCAACCCACGAGACAGGGCTTGACCCGAATTGCACGAGCCCGGGTGCTGCTTGCGCTTGGCCCTGGGCAATATCGCGAAGGAGCCACTGGGTTGGATAAGGTACAACCGGGGCGCGATGCGGAGCTGACTGCGGAGCGGCTGTTGCTATTCTCGTGCGGTGGCTTCCAATCCGCTGTCGCTTCTTGTCGTGCCGAGTGGGGTTCAAACTGCAGATACACAATACTCGAGATGACCAGATTTGGGGGTTGAACCTGAGATTCCTCCAGTTTCGTTGTCGTCGAGTTATGTTACCATCCACAACGGTTCTGACCTAAGCAGCTTGTCGGCTGTATCATCCCGCATCTGATCTTTCTCTCATGAGACTGCATCGGTCTGTCAGAGTACCTACATGAAGAGTGGTTGCTTGACGCCAGGCAAAGGTAAAGTCACACACATCCATCTCTCTCGAAATTGGTACTAATTCCTTCGATTTGCGGTGCCTTGCTGCCCGCTAACGATAAACGGCCTTACCTTCAGACGAAGTCGCCCGGGGGGTGTGTATTCGGGCACGGCCGAGCGAGTCAATCCTCTAGGATAAGCGTTGTGTGCTCAGTAAACTCTCGTCAATCAACCCTTTGGTCGAGCTCCACGGGTCGGCCAGGCAGACGTGTTCCGAGTTTAGCATGGCTCACTTATTCGTCGCACAGCTGCGGAATCACGATGGACCATGGGTGCTTTCCATGCTTGTCGTGGCCCATTGCTACAACAGCTCGCCTCGCCGTACCGTGAGGGGGGCATTTGCTGATATAGACACGTTAACACTGGGAAAAGGCCGCCCTTGAATTCGATATACCACGATGCGGAAGCGAGCTTTCAAAACTCCGTGCTGTTGTGTTGTGGCTGCCCGATCCTGGCTGTCTGGATATACCGGGCAACGTAGCCCGTTTCCCCGCGTGTCCCAGCGCAACACAGCAAGATTGACGGAGGGCAGTATGGGATGGCATGGCCGTTCTAAAGGCATGGATGGACACCTATCCCATACGCGCCTGCGTGGTGTACATTACCTTTCGCTGCACGCACGCACCATTGAGCTTCTCCGAGCACTCATCTCGGAGAGAGCCAACCCTTGCTGTGGAGATGATCGCAATAGAGGAAACCGTACGATCCCACTCCAGAGTCAATCACGTCTCAAACGCCGGCTTCAGTCTGCAATTGCAGGACGAGGCGGCCCAAAAACGACGCTGACAGATTGCAAGGTGCACTTCCTCCCTCTTGGGCCATGCGGAAACTGGCTGCAACCAGCCGACTGCTCGTCCCCAGTCCACGATTATGTGGCGTCCGCCCTCGAGCTATGCAGCCACCTCGTAAGGATGGGACACTGAGAAGACCCAGTCCCCAGCATATGTTTTGACGCCCCCAAATCCTCGTTCCTCCATTGTGGTTCCGTCGAACGGATTGTTATTTGCACCGGGCGCCGGCCTGGACCGTAGACGGCCGGGGAAAATGGAGCTGCCGGCCGCCGCCGTGGCGCCGAGTGGGAACTTCACGATGGCCTCACGTGCACGCCTCCGACTACACCACCAGTCTAGCTCTGACGGCCTCTCCCGCCACCACTACAATTATTCGCACCTAGAACTCATTGCCTGCCGCCGTCGCGCCTCTGATGAGAAGAGAACACCGGCCGCCGAATCAAGAGGTTTCGTCTCGTCAGTTGCCACGCTGCAGCAGCCTGCCTACATAGATAGACCGGGCCCCTGAATCCGGTAGAGTCCGTCTGTTCCAACCGCAAGGCGCACCCCTCCGCCCTCAACCAATATTCCATGCCGCACGAGTCTCCGGATCAGGCAACTCAGGCCAGGGTCTCCGGCGTCCATATACGGAGGTCGGTAGTCGGCTCGCACCACTCAACACCCTACCCGGGCCGGCCCCTCCTCAACGTTGCTTCGCTGGCGGCCAAGGTGCCTTTTGGAGCTTTGCGACATGTCATTTTTGTCGTTTCTTTCTCGACAGAGGGGACATTCGCAAACGAGAAGAGGAGGCGGTTGGAAACTTGGTGCCGTAGTAAGCCTGAGAGGGGCTTCAGAGACACGTTGCTACGCCGGTCAGTCTTGGAATGTGCAGCTGTCCCGATGCGGTCGCTGATGATCACGACTTATTGCCTGGTCCGCTGCGGAACGCGTCTCATGGTGGCTCAGGTCTTGTTTCTACGATGCAACGGCTGCTTGCATGGAGAAGCCACCTTGCGCCGTGTCTGCAGCGAAAGCTGTTTGCTACGCCTCTCTCACGCCGCCGGCTCACCGACGTTCCCTCCCACCCTGTCTGACAATCCTCCGCCTTACTGCTTTCTTCACCTCGTGCAGCCTGCAGATGTACACCAGCGTCACGGGATCCCCTTTTGCTGATTACGCTATTGATCTCATTCTAGCCTGCGCTATTGCCGTGCCCTGGCCGTCTTTCCTACGTACCAAAAGACCGGGGGGGGGGGGGGGGATTAGAGGGCAGGTTTCAGTGCACGTCGGTGAGGCGGACGACAATCCGCACTCTTCACCGAATCACGCGGTGCTTTCCTCATGCTTGTACGACCTGAGCTGTCAGCTCAAACCACCGCTCCTTGAGCCACCAACCCGCATGGCCCCCGCGTCTCGTGTTGACGAAAAGTGATTGCGGAGTGGCCTCGAGACGATGTTCTCCTGAGCCAATGTGCCTAGTCACCTGAGGATGCCTTCTCTTTCAGTCTAGGTGGCTTCAAGCCGAAAGCAGGGACCCCATCCCTCTTCATAAGCGAATTGGCTGATCCAGCTACACAGCATATCGCATCTTGTCTGCCTCACGCATGTCAGCAAAGGATGGGGGGATTTGGCCCCCTCGTGGATGGTGGTTTATGAGCTGTCATATGCTAATCCTGTGTCTTCAACACCTTTTTTTTTTTGGTAACCCAGGCGAGGTCATCAGAAGATGGAACCGACTATGCAGCTTTTCCCTTTTGCTCATCCTGACCAGGTGAGTGAGCGTCGGTTGAGCAGGCAGCGACGCATGGGGGAATCTGCGGCGGTCTGCATCTGGCATGCTCGCGTATCAGTACCTGTGTCGAGACAGCCTGCTGATAATGCTCATGGTTCATCAAGAAAGGCGTCGGGGTGCGGACTGCCACGTCACAAAACGGGTGAGAGCTGACCCGTCGCTTTGTTTTCTTATTGTCTCTGGTTTCGATGTCTTTTCTTTTCCCTGATGCGTGTTGGTTTTTTGAGACAGGTCAGATCTGACACTCGTTGGACGCCAGGTCAGTAGCAGAGAGAGAAGGGCGGGTTTCGGTACCATTTGCTGTTGGCAGCGTTGCAGTCACACTGCTGAAAAGGCCGTTTGATCGTTACACGACTGCGATCGCCCATGGCGGACCATTTCGTGGGCCATGGTTTTGACCAACCCCGAAGCGTGGGCGGACGGCGAAGGCAGCGGAAGTGCCACCCACAACAACAACAACAATAACAACAACAACAACAGCTGCCGGGAATAGAGAACCTTCGATATGGCGCGTCCCGGCAAGACTACGCGATGAGCGGCGGGACTCTCCTGCTCGACACTGGGGGTTTTCCCCTCTCAGGGGCCATGTACATCGGGTACCGGGATCGCGCGGTGGTCTCGATCGACACCGACCGCCTGGATGTTGGTGCCCCTATCTATCTCCTTTTGGAGAGGGCATGTTGCCATCATTGGGAAACTTCCGGCCCCTTCACCCTCCAGCCACCTCATCGACAAAAGCACCCCCCCTGGCGATGATGGATTGCATTGTTCACGTGAGCATGTCATTGGCAGAACAAAAAGGAGCGGGATGGGATGCTGCCGAACAGATTCATTACAAAGTCCATCGGGAGCGGAGCAGCAAGGCAGGCATGCACTGCATTCCTACTCATGCAGAGCCTCACTTCTGATGTGAGAGTTGCATCGAGGCCCGGCGGTGCGGAGCGCGGAGCATCCCTCCCTCCCTCCCTCCCTCCCTCCCTCCCTAGTGCTACTTCTTTCTTCAACGACACGTGCCGCGTGGTGAGCTTGCCTGATTACACGGCGGGAATAATGACGGTAGGCCGCAGGAAGGCACGGACATTTGTCAACGGGAAGAGAAGCACTAAAGATAACGAAGTAACGGATACGCAAGAAACCATTTAGGGGAATACGTGCTGATGAGAAAAAGGGGAGGCAGCCGGACCAGTGGCCGCGGGAAGCTTTTGGTGAGGGCAAAGCTGCAGAAAAAGACCACCCAGCTTGGAGAGCTTCCTGATGGAGGGTAGATGCAGGCCGGGGGGGTCATGAGCAAGGGGCGACGAGGGTTCTGCGGGCTGGTCCTTCTTTAGCGAACGGTTTCCCCTAGTGCTTTCGTCAGCTTTTGTTGTAGCAACGGTTACACAGCGCCGTTATCGAGCAGGGGGGGGGGTGGTAGTGATGGTGCCAATGGACTGTTATGGGGGGTTTAGGTATTGGAGAGGCAGCCGTTTGGCAAGACTTGCCGAGGAACGGCGCGCGGACGCGTCTAATCGAGGCAGGATGACAACTTTTTTTTGTTTTTGGGATGGTTGACAGCGGGCGATGGAAAGAGGAGGAGGGTAAGCTTCGATATGAGTCGACGTTGGACGACAGGTGAGGGATATGTCGGTGAGAAGGTTACACCTGACTGCTCACCTTGAGAGAGAGAGAATGGCGTCGGGGCCGTCTGGGGGCCCTTGGGACCGTTGGCATGGGGTTTCTGGACCGGTTGGACAGGGGTTTGATGACATGGGGTGGGAGAGGCCGGGGGGGCCGCTCTTCTACCTACACTACGGAGTACTGTGTATGCTCGGCAGATGGATTGGGTGAACCTCTCTTTCCGGACCCTCGTCCGTCGACCGCACCCCGTTCGCCGCCGCCGCCTCGCCGGCAAGTTTACAACGCAGGAGAGGAGCATCCCTCTATCCCCCCCCCCCCGGTCCGCTGCTTATGGGTGCACGGATAGCCCGGTGTTCTACAGATGCTTCGTGCCGGGATTCACGTGGGAATAGGGCGGCGGCGGCGTTATTGCGGAGGGAAAGAAGGAAGGGGGGTTTTCGGTGGTACAGGTACAGATGCAGATGCAGAGTACAGCACAGGATCGCAGGAGGAAGTCCTGATGGTTTGGTTGAAGCTGTAGGGTTTTCGAGCATGCTGCCGGCTCTTTGGGCGACGTACAGGAACGGAACATGGTTGCCTTTTTGCCTCTCCTTCGGCAAAGAGTGAGGTGAGGTTCATGTGAGGTGAGGTCAAGGCAAGGTCAGAGGCATGCGGGTGAGGTCGCAATAGGAAGATTGAGAGTCACTCGGAGCTCGGAAGTTTTGTTGGCTGGAGCTGCTGGGAGGGGTGCGGTTCTAGTGGGAGTTGATGGGGGATGTATCGTGAATGTAGACAACGTAGAAGAAGTATCTTGAAAGTCACAAATGTCACTGATGTATGTGATACTGATGGTCCCTTGTTTATGGTGGGTTGAGGGTTGAAGCTTGAGCTTGAAGCTATTTGATGTCCAAGTGCTGCCTTATCGGGAATGGTGTCAATGTTTTTTTTTTAGAGCGTGGATATCTGGATCTGCCTAGCATAGAGGAGGGTGTGTAGATATGTGTGTGGGATGATGATGGTCTTTGACGACGATGACTGGGGAAGGATATTGATAGCCCGGATGTTTGCCGAGCATCCTGGGGAAAAGACCATGAGACTTTGAGGAACTTGATATCTGATGCTTGTAGATGCTTGCAGGGTGGCGGTAGTTGCTCATTCTTTTAGTCTAGGGGCCAGTGAGTAAGACTTTTGGATTTCAGATATCATGTTGCGTTTCCTGCCAACGGGCGCGTCAGAGGATCAGCGGGTGGCATTAGGATTTACGGGTTGATGATGTGAGCCTTTTTTGTGACCTGCGACCTGTTGAGCCAGCCGTTACGCGCGTGTTAGTCCTGTCTGTCTGGGGATCAACCTTGTGTCTCCGTGGCGTGTAGATATTCTTTTCCGAGTCAGACAGGCGTGAAATCACAAACGAGGGGGGGGAGAATATGACAGGCAAAAGGCAGCGGCCGCGAGACGGATAGAGATGAGGCATGGGTTGGACGATCAGGCGGTTGATGGCGCCATCGAGGTTGAACATTGTAAGAGAGAGAGACAGAGGCCCCGTCGAGTCATCCCAACGGCCGAGAGATGGATACATAGGCACACAGGCTGGGAGAAGGCTCGGAAGTAAGAGACGCAGAGACAGAGTGGGATAGTGTACTTCGTACGGATAGTGTATGTGTGTGTGAGATGTCGGCTAGGGGGCATGTTCACCGGTATGGGGATACGTTGTGGAGCAATGGGGAGCTCGTGTGGGTATTTGGAAAATAAGTGGGAAGGGGCGGGGGACTGGTTTGGACGCCGTGGACGGTTCTTTCTTGGAGTTTGCGAGAGGGAATTCGTCTTTGTTGGATTGTGTAGTTAGTAGAGTCCAATGTGCTCCTCGTGGGGTCGTCTACTGTTTCTGTCTGATTTGACTCGAGTTGTCTCGGCGGAGTTGTGGTTGAGGCTCGGGGAGGGAGAGGGACCGTTTCCCCCGTTGACGCATGGAGCTTGGGGGGTGCGTCGTTCCAAAGTGGAGATCATGGGCAACCTTCGAGGGCGAAGTTTGCTGGGAAGGACGTGACATGATGTCTGATATGGTTGGGGGGACATAGAGGGGACAGAGGAGACAGGTGGTGGATCATGGAGCTCCATGAGCTCGCGTGGGAGGCCGTTGAACGCATGGCTCTTGGTGCGTTTTGGGTTTTTAGTTGGAAGATGCTAGATGGAGTCACCGCTCCCTCATGGTCCGAGATAGAGATTGGATTCTGCCCAGATCGATACACACCCGTCTATCCTCGTCGTCTTAGAGACTGGGAGTTTCCATGTGTGGTAAATGGCGTAGCTTGAGGAAACGCGCATGTGAATTGAGCAAGCCGAGGTGGCTCAGCAATGCTACTACAGAGGTGTCTGAATTTCTGATTACCACCAAAAAGTTCGCGTATCTATCTGTCTTTACAGCTTATCTAGCTTTCCCTAGAGATTTCGACATTGATCTGTAGCGTTGAGATCCGCATTCGAGGCAACAGAGGGGGACATTAGAGAGGAATAGACTCGGGCGATTAATGTATTCGGTGCGCTTAATCTTGCATTTCCTAACCTTGCCATTGCTCCCTACGTTGATAGCCGGGTTTGCTAAGGTTTTCTGACATCCCCAAATGCCGTTGCCGAGCGATATTGACGAGATGCGGAGGAGATGAGATGTCGCATAGTATCCTTGGCCGCGCGGCTGGCATGGACGGATGTTCCTGCCGGGATGCTGTATATCTGAAGGGGACTTGAGATGTAGAGGTTCATGGCGCTTTCGGCCGTTATTCTGATGGGGATAGCTTCCGTTCGAACGCTGGTGTAAGACCCGGCGGCCGACTCGAGTTTGATTTTCATGTCCAATTGTCTCA